TGTGTGTGTGTGTGTGTGTAGTGTAGTGTTGTGTAGCGTTAGGTAATGTAGTGTTAGAACGAGTTTTACGGTACTTACAACACAATCTTTAGGTCATATAAGTGCCGAAGATGTGAGGTGTCATTAGAGTTCATGCAAAGAAAAGGAGAAGATAGATGTTCGACACGTAAGTGAAGGAACAAACCACAAAATACTGCCCGCTAGTGAAACCAAAAAACGTTCTGTGTAAATGTATACAAGAAGTGAAGAGTTCTGATTTCGTCGTTCGCTAGCGGACACTATCCCTCTCCCTTCATTCCAACCTGGGCAAAGTATGGACAAACAGCCCATAAAAGTCATTACCATGAACTCAAACTGGGTTCTTAGACGGATTTCTATTGTAGACGGGTTGTTAGGCATACAATATTGGAAAATAATGCACGATGAAAGCTATTTTTCACAAGGAGTGTTTAGCAAAACTGAACTGTCGAACTGATGAAAGTGAGAGTCACGAAAGTATAGAAAAATACTCGTACGTAAGCCAACAAGTTTAGGCAAAGAATGGCCCACGAGCAGTTTCGATCTGGACCCTGAGTCGATCTAGATCTAGGAATTAATCATGAATGTGATTCGCGGTGAAATTGATAATCGATAAAAACAGAAGTGTCAGCAGCCTAGCAAGAAGCTATTGAGTTTAATTATTAAGACTGACACTTCTGTTAAAATATATGGGACGAGTCCTGACGGTTTGGTCCACTATAAGGTACAGGTTTCATAATTTTTTGGGTTTTTTGGTACAGATACAAAAAGGGCATAATTTCCCCCTTCATATGACATTAATATCAATTAATGAATAAGATAATATTTAACGAAATGACCCACAATTCAATTTTGGAATGCTTCACTGCTGTCCGAAGCAAAATACTGAGATATTCACCATCAAAGATTTGACAAATACCTGCATTACAGAACAAATACATTCTCCAAAATAGCTTTAAAAACACATTAAACAGAACATTTTAGAGATTAAAAAAAAAAAAATTTCCGACAGAAAAGTCATTCAAAAGTCTAATAAAGATTTTTTTAAACGTTGCTTATTTACTGACCCAGCAAGTGTTTTTGGCAATATCTGCTAGTCAGCTCGATGTACCTAGTGAACCGAACCGACGGGGCGCGTCACACACACACACACACACACACACACACACACACACACACACAAATGTATATATGTGTGTGTGTGTGTGTGTGTGTGTGTGTGTGTGTATGCGCGCGCGCATGGTTTCAGTTTAAATCTCACTTTTTAGAGCTTGGGTATTTTAACCAATTTCACCCAATTTTCTCCGGCTTTGGCCCACGACATATCTGCTCTTAGAATCACTTAATTCGGCCCCGACTGGGCCACGCTTGCCCCATATGTACCTGACGTAAGTAAGCCTCACCTCCCGGACATAACCCACAGGTCGTGACCCTGCCCTGTAATGCGTCCTGAACTCAAGGAAAGTTAACGGTACCTATCAACTCCGCCGCCTAAACCACCCGCACACATAACAAACGCACCCCCCATACGCCCCCCCCCCCCCCCCAAAAAAAAACGCCCCCCCCCCCCCCCCCCCCCCCCCCCCCCCCCCATTCCATCCACACAAACACAATAACGTATTTATAGATCGCCGATCGATATACGAAATGTCGCACAACGACAAATCACGAGTCTATTTTTCTACGACGTGTTTCTAAATCGTCGATCGATCGATAAACTCGACCTCACACAAATCGACACTCCGATAGATTCGCCTAAAAATAACCCGATCACCTCCGCCGAACAAGTCCTGACGCAGCCCAGGAGATCGATCACTATCGATCGCTGATCAATGCCCAGCCGATCAACTGATCGGTACAGTGATCGGAACTTCAAAATCGGCCCGCGCAGGTTCGGACAGCGACGGGACACGCCGAGACAGGAATGAAAACCTACGTCAGAATATAGCACACGACCTCACAATACATTCACGCTGACACACAAAGGGGCTGGGAGGGCAATAACCTCGCCAGGCAGGGGACGTAACACAGAAAATACAGTTCTTAACTCTTCAAGGACGAAGGGGACACATAATAAAATTATACCAGAGAGTTTACAGATTATACATTATGTAGTCGATCGGCAACAGATCAAAGGCACTGATTCAGCATATTCCAAATCACCATACGCAAATCAGAAACAACAATTATATTTCTTGGTACGCATATATTGATGATTGACTTTTTAAGTTTTAGATTAAAAAAACTTGGCCTACAGGTTAAGGTGTTCAAAGGTCCAGGGTTCGAATCCGGGTAGCGACCGAAAAATTTTCTGCTCTAAAATTGTCTCCTTTCACCTTCCTTCCTTCTTTCTTGCAATATTCTGTCATCTGCTTTCGTCTCCACTTTCTTCCCCCACCCCCTCACCTCCTTTGCCCCCTCCTCTGGGCTCCAGACTCTTTCTGCAGCCTTTCTACTGCTACTCTTTGGCTCCTTTTTTCTGCTGTCTTTCAGCCACACCCCTGATCTTCTGGTAGGAAAGATCTACACCTAGCCTTCTCAGACAAGGGGGGAAAATCTCGGATGTCCCGTGTGCAAGTTGCGAACGTTAAAGATCCCTTGGTGGTCCACAATTGATAAGAGTAGGCTTCGGCCGCCACACGAGCAAAATTTAAAATTGTTTGGCGAGCGCCATAAAACACTTACTAGGGCCCCATAAAGCGTGTCAAGCGCTATCGAGGAACCACAATGCGTGTCTACAGTGGGTTAAATTATAGGAACTTTCTCCCTTGCTTCCTACTTTCTGTCCCTCCTTCCTTCTTTCTTTCCTTTCTTCCCCTCTTCCTCCTCCTCCTCCTTCTTCTTCTTCTTCTTCTTCTTCTTCTTCAAATGCCAGATCTGAACCAGACATTGGCTATCATGGTTCCCCACTCAATTTTCAGCGCGAATCCTCCTTTCCCATCTTCCATCCGTCAAGTTATAATAATAATTTTCATAATTTTTTTTTTTTAATGTTTTCCTCCAACATTTAGCTATTAATGTCACATAGATACACTTTTACAAGTTGATTTCTTTCGTTAGTGGTGGAAAGAATAGTGTAGGATAAGTTTAAGTAAAAAGGGCACCTAAAATATCCTGACGTACCGAGTGAATGTAATGAAAAATAGGCATCCTGATAGGATTCTTTAAAAAATATCTTTTTAAACATGTAATATGCAGGTTTTTCCCTCATCACCCATCTGTTCAACTTTTCTAAGTAAGTTATTTTTGGTATCCCTCTCCCTTCAGCAAAGTCTAATGAGGGAAGTACTTTTAAAAAATAACAAAAGATTATCGTTTATCACGTACAAAATGACCAGACAGTAAAAATAATAAATAAATAAATCCAGCATTTTTGTTTACCTAACCCAACAAATTTTACTTGAAAAAATAATTTATATTCAAAGCGACTTAAAAGACTCTCTGAATTAAAGATTCGTATCCAAGTGCAATAGTTGGTTCAGCTTTACATTTTATTCCAAACGTGCATAAACAAAGAGTGAATAAAAGGACAAAATAGTGCTTCAGATGCCAAACTTTTAATTCAGCAAATTAGGATGTAAAAAAGTTTAATGTTCCTAATTTTCTAGAACCTAAAATCAATACTGATAATACATCAGAAAAATTAGACAGATTTGAGAAACCCATAGACATAGAGTTTAGAAGGAATTGATGACAGATAGACACACAATTATTACAGTTGATATCCGACTCTAACCATGTGTGCGAACATTGATCTTCAGAAAATTGGAGAAAAAATCTAACATATTTTTTTTAATCTTCTAGTACGTAACACAATATAGAACCACAAATTTCAAAAACCCTTGTGAATAACATAATCTGAGACAAAAAAAGTATTTGACTTAATACACAGTTAGAGTCGGGCATGAATGATTAGCAGAAAAAGTCTGCTAGTCAAAGAAAGAAAATTGTGGTCCAATTTCTTAGTATCATACGGTCTGATAGGCCACAGCTGTTCTTTCTCCGAAAACAGTCATTTTAGCAAAAGACATTTTGATGGGAAATACTGACAGAACAAAACAACAAGCTGATAAAGAAAGATAAGAAAAAAAATAGAGATAGACATATAGTCGAAGGTATTCCTCTAAGACTGAAATCGTAATTGTAATTGTAAATGTGTCACGACATGGTGGAATCAGGTGCTCGTCAATTTTTAGGCATGTGGAGTTATTTGTATCGTCGTAAAACTTGTTTAATTGTCCTGCTATTGGTGAAAAAAATGCCCATCTATCTTGAATAGAAGTCAAGATATTAGAAGGTGGGGTCACCTGGCTTCAAAGGTAGAATTAGCGAGGAAATGGCCGCCAAAGTTTGGTTATTTCGATAGCTTGATAGTCCGTGGAAACAGAAAACTTACATCTTTTTAGCCTTTAATCAACGTTTTTCAGTAAAATCCACCCAGAAATGTGTTCTTGATTGGACAACAATGATGTTCAGCCCCCCCACCAAATTCAATAAAAATTACCAAACTGGCAGAAAAACGCCAGTTTCTTCAATTTCATTATTTTGACGAGCGCCTGATTTTACCACGCTGCCTCAAAAATGTAATTTGTCCCCTAAAGACACGATTTACTCCATTTAAGAGGCAGGCTATCTCAACCCTGTCACAGGGCCAACCGTGGTTGAATGGGAGAATGGGATACAGTATCACAGCAGACAGATGGAGATACTCAAAAAAAAACTTCTCTCTACTTGGAAACCAAATTCACAGAATCCAGTGCCTCTTGAATAACCTCATGGTGCTGAAAGCTAAGTGAACAGACAACCATATCAAATATTCCACTGATTAATTTTCAATGCTTTACCTCCTTTACCTCAAAATCATTTGTTAAGTATATAGCATTATCAAAACATGAAAAAGAATATCACATGATGAGATTACTATTACTAATAGATTACAGCAGGTACAAGGAGAGAACACGAGAACACTTAGCTAAGCCAACCATTCCCTCTCCTTACAAAAACAAACAAAATAAATACAGTCAAAATTGCCTTAGATGGCCACCCATTGTCTAAGAGAAAAGTGTCCATCTTAGACAGGTAGCCGTCTAGCACAGTGTCTCTATTATGTAAAAAAAAAAACCAACCCACACACAGGGGGGAAATGGGAAGTGGATATTTGAACAAGTAATCATTTGAACAAGTGATTGTCTTATACAGGTGGCTGTTTGAGCAGGTTTGACTGTACTAGGTAAAAGTTAGGAAAGTTGGGAAGACTGACCTGCATGAGAAGTACCTTGTCCGCCAACTGGAAAGCAGGAACATTGTCCTAGAAGGAGGGGAAGAGGGTAAAAAACAAGTCAGGCTGTTTATCGGAGGAGGCGATAAGGGGGTTGTGTTAGTCAACTTGTTTTCACATCAAATAAAAGAAACAAGAAGTAAAATTTCTTTTATATTCAGTAACGTTTTTAAGAAAAGTCATTTAGTAAAATTCAAAAAGGAAGGCTCACCTCTCAATTCATCAAATCTTATAGGACTGTTCACTTTGTTTAATAAAAGGATCAGCTTCTTATACTATAAATACTCTCATGAAGTTTTTACCACAATGCTCATCATTCAGAGCATGTTTTGTGAATGAGAGAGTAAATCTCAAAACATTGTGCGCAACGCTGCACAACAACAGAAGTTTCAGAACTCATTCTTCCACAATCGAACCACTCAGCTTCTTACCACTATTACAGGTGTGAACATACGTCGTAAAAAAATAAATAAGAAGAAATCATCATAATTGGAAGGACAGATTCTTAGAGCTGTATACGCTTATGAACATTTTGAATATCTCATGTCTGCTCCTTCTTCTTCTTCATCTTCCTTAAGAGCCAGTTCTGAAACAGATATCAGCGGTAATGGCTCACCACTCATTTCTCAGCTTGGATACTCTCAACAAAACCTTGATCTATATTATCCTGGTATTTACCCATCACCCATCTGCCTAGCTTCTTATGGTAAGTTATTCTTTCTCAACCTCAACTCTTTTTCCATCTGTTTTTCCAGTGTAGGCAAGATATTCAAGCTTTGGTTTCGATTCAAGTATTCTGGGATCTGTATTTCTTAGCCTCATTCAATCTAATTTCAACTTACTGAAATCAGTTCAGGGTTATCCAGAAATGTTCCAGGGAAAAAGGTAGTTGCTGCCAAAGACAGGATCTGGGAAACAAAGGCACAATCAATAGAACATAGAAAATGAGCGATACACAAGCCAAAAAAAATAAAGACTTACTTACCTGTAAGCCCTATTGCTAGAACAAGTTTTTTGTCCAGTACAAAAATTGAACGACAGGTCATAGAAACTGACTGAAAATTTTTGCCCAGTGCAAAAATTAAAAATGACAAATCAATGGAACAGTTGTTTTCATACTGGAAACAACATCAACATATTATTTTGATCTTGGTAAGCTGTTCAAAAGCTCTTTGAGCCCAGAAAGCAAAATGTTTCAATAGAGAAAGAGAAAGAAAAACCTGTTTCCTTTCTTTTAACAATTTTACCCGCTTGAAGTATCTTTTCTTGCTTTATCCACATTTAGAATTTGAATCTTTACAAAAACATTTCTAAACCACACGCAACCGATACCACAGATCATGAAACTGCGACTTTTTTAAATTCCAAATTTTGGGCCTAGTACATTTGAACAGCTTGCCAATGATATTTTTGAGTTGCCAAGTACCTCTGGTGAAGGCAGCGTTATGAATGATGTCACACTGGATGCCAATATCTCCCCGACCTTGACCTGAAACTCCACATCATCCTCATAGCCAGCAACAGAGCCAGCAGTGGAGCCAGTAGCAAACAGCAGCTGAAGAAAATCTGTTAGAGAAAACAAGATTACATGATGAGAATATAAAAAATTCAAAAAAGACAAAAACCTTATTTCATTAAAAGGAGCCACAAAAAGCTTAAACTGACCTGAAAAAGAATCAAAGGCAACTCATTCAATCAGTCTGATTTTCAACCAATCTTGGATTATGAGATGCTTAGCAAAACACACAAAAAAGCTAGTTTTAAAAAGCTGTATTCATTGTTATTCTTATAGATTCAGCGAAGACTTTCAACCTTTAAATCATTGTCTTGACGTGATATAACACGGTTTTATGCTGGAACATCATACCCCACATATAACCAAAAAGTACAGTCGCAATTGTCTAAAACGGCCATCCATTGTCAAGGACAAAAGTGATTGTATTAAACAGGAGGACGTCTTACACTTGCAGTGTCATTAAAATGTTTTTTTGTTTTTTTTAAATGCAAGGAGGGAAATAGGAAGTGGCCGCTTGAACGGGTGACTGTGATATACAGTTGGCCGCTAGAGTGGGTTTGACTGTATGAGGTGAAAGTAGGAAGTAGCAAGCTGGAGGGAAAGAGTTTATTAATCATCCATTCACCAAAATACTGGTACTATAAGAATATGTCCAGGGATTTCATTTTGTAAGTTTTAATCATTCATTTACCAAAGTACTGGTATCGGAAAATGTCCGGGCTCTTCATGATGTTGTTGGTATATGAGGCAGTCACTGGAAGCCGCAGAGACAGACAGTTGGTCAGTCCATCGGCATTGAGCACGTCTGACAAATGACTGGCTTGTAGGTGCGTGGGCCGGGCCAGGAGGAAGGTGCTGTTGGGACTGCCCACAGCCAGGCTTCTGCCTACACTGCCTGGAGAGAAATATTTTTGGGGTTTTTTTTAGTAAAGAGAAGCACATTGACACAATAATAGTCATTTGGAGCTGGGAAAAAGTAAGACAGACAGACAGACAGACAGACAGACAGACAGACAGACAGACAGACAGACAGAAACAACAGAGGGAAAGTAAAGAAGTAGGACACACCAGTGGCCCCCTTAAACAACCCGCAATTATACATATATTTATCCTCTCTTTTAATTTTAGGGGTGTAAGATAAGAAGCTCTGTGTCAATCAACACCCATTTAAAATATTGAACAAACAGTTGTGTCTTAGCCTGGGCAATAAGAAGCATGTTGATACAATGTAACAATAACAATGATTTAGTGCAGTGAAAAAGTAAGACAGGCAGAAACAAAACAGGAAAAGAAAAGAAGTGGGAACTACCTATGGTGGCCTCCAACCAACTGAAATTGATTTAATTTAAGCTCAAGCTATAGATGAGAAGTACGGTTGAGCATGGTTGAGGAGATTCTCTTTAGAGTCCGTTAATTTTGATGTATAAGGAAAACTAAGTGATTGAGCACGCACCTGGGTGCTTACATTTTTGTGCATGCGCGCGCACATGTGTGTATATTATGTATGTGTGTACGTGTGTGTGTGTGTGTGTATGTGTGACTGTCCATGAAATTTAATGTGTGTATTTAGATAAAAATATGAATAATTCTATAAGCTCAATGTCGCTTCAATGACCCATTTCATTATTGATATGCAGCAACAAGAGACCAGTTGGGGATCATCATCATCATCATCGTTATTATTATTATTATCCCTATTATTATTATATCATTAATAATATTATGATATAATCAAGGCATATTTTAAGCCTGAACAATGAAAAAACAGCAAACATCTTTGAACCATAAACTCTTAGTTTGTGAGGAAATAACACTTAGAGCCATTAAGATTTATAACTAGACCACTTTTTGTGTTACCATTTTGTTACTACCAAAAATGTATTTTCAAAGTGACAAAACTAGCTCCCAAATTAATCATTGCCTAATGAGGCCCCAAAAAATTAAAAAGGAAGATATAAACTTATTTCAACTGCATTTTGAAAACTCTACAGCTGTATATAACTTTGTGCCCACACATACATAAATTCAAGAATCCTGTGGAGGGATAAAGGATGGTGTAAAGGGAGGTGTAGTCAGGGTGGTACCTTGGGATAAATTATCAAGAAAATAAATGCCTTTCTAGAAGATTCAATGTTTTTAAAATTTGTTTGTGTAAAAACAGCACTCTTCAAAAGCTAAATCAAATAATGCTCACACAATAGCATAGGAGGCATAAACTGAATCACTGTAGGTATACCTGACACTACAGTTAAGTTTGTTGCAGTTGCAGAGTATTTTTTATACTACATCCTTCAACGTACACACAGAGTTGTGAAAATTCATGTAAATACTGTCTTGTACGTAAACTTCCTAAAGTTCAGAGGAACAGTTTCAACAGGCACCCCCCCTCCCCACCAATTGATTTGTTGATTAGTGCTTTAAACAAAAATTGACAAATTATGACAATAAATAATTGATGTTTAATGATACTACATTCTTATAACCATGAAAGTTTTCACTAGCATTCTTCAATTAGAAAACTCAGGTAACACTGAAGCAGAGCAACAAACTCTGACACTCTAAGGGATAAGCAGGAGCGCTGGAATTTGAGTTTCTAAACCACACAAATTCCTATTGGGCAATCAAGATTATTTCTTGATTGGGTCACGATTCCACTACTGACAACTTTTTTTTCAGTATCTGAAAAACTTAAGGTAAATTGAATGTCATAAAATGGTGACAGAAAAATGTAAAATGCATTTCTTTACACATTATAGCATGAAGCAAAGGGCAAGCATGGAAGCAAAGAAAATAAAATTTTTGACAATTAAAAAAACTTTTTTTTTTAATTTGACATTTCACAAAACAACTTTGACAGCTGTCCTGTTGGGAAGCTTTTTTGCAAAAAGCACTCAAAAAGTGAAGGATGGGTAAGCTAAAATCAATACAAACATGAGCACTAATGGCACACTGTGCGATTGTTTGCAGGCAATTCAATTATTCTTCCTAGCTCATCATTTTGAAAAAAGGAAATGGTAATAATTTTTTCTGTTGCTTTTTTAAAGGAATTTTAAAAGCAAAAATTTTAATGACATGTTCACCAGTCATTATTTTTAAAAGTGTATATTGCTCAGAGGCATTAAAACGTATCATCTTACAGAATATAAATACATATGTATCATTAGATAAATCAGAGGCCTGTCATATATATTAAATATACATCAAGTTTAGGGAAGGAAGAAACCTCTAAAAAGGTAGGGTTTGGGAAGAGATATGAGTAGAAAACTCTTTACTATTGTTGCTGTTATAATCCATGAAAGAATAACGTTTTTCATGTATTTCTTTTTTTATCAACATTGTCAAAGTCTGAAAAAAATCAAAAAGAATAATCAGGGTATCAAAATAATTCCCATAATAATAAGTGATTTAAAAAAAATAGAAGTTCACAAAATTGAGAAATGCATCCTTCTAGTCAAAATATCGGCCCTTTAAAATCTTCAAGCTAATGCACCTGAATATTCCTTACTCTTCACCACAGTATCGGTAAGACAGTAAGTTGTTTGTAATAATCAATATAAATGTTTAATGCTCCATTGATACAATGCAGATCATTTAGGAGTGGGCCGCTTTGATCCTGCTGTCAGAGCCAACCTGAGCTGAAAGGTACATGACATCCTTACAGACAGTCCGGGATACTTGTAAGCAGACCTCCCCCCTCCCCCCCCCACCTCCAGGGAGTTCAACCACATGTCTTCTGCATGCAACAGAACCACATAAGATTTGACAATTCTATTCTACAAGAATGGCCTGCAGCAAAATAGAAAACGGTAAAAGTACTAAAAGTAAAGTATTATACAGTACCCCTTCCTACCATCCCAACACATAGTCGGGCACAGATAAGACAAACATGGAAAACTTGAAATCATGGATACCGGTAACCCCTACAATTTGCCATTCCCCGACTTGTATCTTTCTAATCTTTCTCTCTACGGTTTACCTGAATTATGGGTGTGCCGAATACATTTGTCAATTCCTGATTTGTTTGAGATATCCGTGCCTGACTGTTCATATTATTGACAAGAATCCCTTTGGATCTCCACCAGTGCCTTACCTCTGACTCGGAGTCTGTGTCTGTATCACTGAGGTGCCTGAGGGCGCCGTCCCTCCAGTGTAGCTGGGCGGGGCACATGTCAGGGTGCAGTTTCACTCGAAGGTAGCTCTGGAACAACCTGGTCCTGTCGTGAAAGATTGTCAATATTTTATGCCCCAGTCAACACACATAAGGTTATTTACGAGATACGCTGCTTCAACCCTACCTATTGTGATTACAGAAGTTTTATACCATCATTGAAACACAAATATAGGGTCATTTAGGAGGTATTGGTACCTGGAAACAATACTCTTATCTAAAAAAAATAATAATAATGATAATAATAATATTAATAATAATAACAACAACACTCAGCAACAACAATAATAATAATAACAAAAACAATAATAATAATAGTATGTCCATCATGTACTGTTGACAACATTTAATATCCAAGGACGAAGGAAAGCAATGGTGTTTGGCACAAATATGCCAAATCGGATATTTTTGTATTTTGTTTTTAAAATCTTTGTTTCCTTTACTAGATCTTCCACAAGGTGTAATAAATAATACCTTGCTTAAGAAAACACTTCATATCCATCAAATAGATGTACAAAAACTGGTGACGCGGTATACATTTTTATTGAATAAATTTTTTTTTGCGCTCCCCCTCCCTCCAAAAAAATCAGCTTGCGTGGACTTGGTCCATTTGCACCAGACACTATTGATATTGAATATATTACAGCAGTATGCGCATCGGTCCACAAACCTGAAAGATTTTTCCGAGTCGAGGGACAACAAAATCTGTAGACATAAACCACGCACTGACAAAGATTTTGTCTCAGAGCCACTCCTGTAGGTGATGGAGGAAGGCCATATGTCCAGTCTTGTCAGTGAGGACTGTGAGTTCACACAGGACATGTACACCTGGGGTAGAGCACAGAAATAGTTTTTCGTATCTCTGTAAAATTGTAGGTGTTTTACACCCACCATCGACACAATTTAGATAATTTAGAATGAGGGCTTCTTCAACCTCAACCAAAGGACATATGATATATACACACCTGAAGTGGAGAACAAAAACAGTCTTTGTTATATAATTATGATAATGTTATTGTTTTATGCCCTCATCGACAGATTTTAGATCATTTAGAAAGAAAGGTTTGTCTACCTCAATCACAGGACATATATACACCTGGAGTGAAGAACAGAAATAATTTTGGTAATTTGTAATTGTACTGAGAAGTGTTTAATGCTCCCATTAACACACTTTAGATCATTCAGAAGGAGAGAGCCAACCGAGGCGGAGGGGGACACAACAACCCAACAGGCAAACAGAGATACTCCATTAAAATTTTTTTAAAACAAAATGATCTTACATCTTCCACATATAACAGCCAAGAGCCAAACCACTACATCACAGACAGGGGGTTGTGAAAGAGTTTTTAAAGAACACCACTGTGCATTGTGCGAAAAGATACTTAAGTCACTGCAAAAATAGAACTTCTATTTTCTTTTTATTTCTTTGATAGACACGAGATTCTTTTCATCCAGCAAATCTTATATCCGAAACAAGCAAACTAATTAAGGCAAAAACATGATACTGTATCAACTGAAAGACATTTTCACATCATGTCCACTAGAAAGAATATTAAAAATCAAATATGAAAGAAAAAGTAAGGTCCATCCAAAAATATAGATTATTTTTTTTAGTTAAAAAAAACATCACCTTCGTCTAGTCAACCTGTGCATAATCTACTTAAAACCTGACTTTTCAATGAAAGTAATTTTAATCAACCACACAATTACATTTCTGGAAAAAGACTCCAAATGTACAGCAAAGACTCGAGTTTCCTTGAGGACCTTCCATTGACTGTTGGTCAGTTCCTTGACCTTTGACACAGCTCCAGCACCTACACTGCTCAGGGACAGGTCCACCAGAGTCTGTCAAAGACATAAATTAGATCATTTAGGAGGCAGGCTGCTTCAGCAATATCTGTCTGGGCCAACAGGGGCACATGAGATACAAAATCCCACAAGGGATATTAATAGTAAAAAATAAACCCTCCTCACTTGTGAATCAAACTAAAACCTTCTGCATTCAATAGCAAAGAGCCTAATCATTATACCACAGACACCAATTGTCAATGATCATGTGCCAAAACAGTAATAAAAACTCCATATGTCAAAAGATTACATATCAATGCCATGTTCAAAACTCAATGGTCATATAAAGTAAACCCTCTGTTCAAAACTCAATACTGCAATGATTGAATGCTAACACCATCTTTAAACTCAACATGTTAATGATCATGAGTCAACATCATGTTTAAAACAAATATCTCATTCATAGAGTTAAGCTGACCTTTTTACATTTTCAACAATAGTTTATTCTTATTAACGTTAATAACAATAAGCAGTATTTGCATGGCACATATATCCACTCAACAGCAACCTCCATGCACTTTAGTCTATATTACCCCACCAGACCCTAGTCCACCCAGAAGCATCCTCGACTTCCTAGGAAGCAGACAATGCCAGCAGCTGATTAATTAAGCACTCAAACACTAACAAACTAACAAGATCTTTTACTGTCTACAGCTGGGTACCCTTTCCCATCTGGGTGAAGACTTAGTGAGGAAAATTTGTTTTAAAAAACCCCAAAAAACGTGTCCCCAAAGAAAAGCATTTTAGGCACCTGATGTGGTTTCAACCTAAGGTGCCTTGTTCAAAAGCCCAATAGCCTAACAACTAGACCACAAATGCCACAATTAAAATAAATACCCACAGCCAGATTGGTAGCATTTACCTTAAAATCATTCATCAGCTCCAAGCCGTCTATGGGAAACAAGCTGAGGCTTTTCCTCCCTGTGTCCCAGCTGGGAACCTCAATGACTGTCACTCGACTCAGGGTGAGAATCCTGCCCAAAAACTCTGGGAATTCTGTGCCCAGATGAAGCAGCCATGAGAAGACTTCTGGACCAATAACCTGTATGTATGATTGTGAGTTTGGGTGTTAGAGTTCACACTGTGAGTTTTATGTCTTCATTAACGCAAAATAGGTTACGTGCTCATATGACCATGTGTAGTTAAATAAATCAAGCAAACTTAAGTAAAAGGACAAGAGACATACAGGAAGTATCACCTTGGTAGGAATTTTACATACAAGCTTTTCTTAAACAAAAATTTTTTTTAAAAGAGGGTGGCCGAGTATCTCTTTTCCTCCATCTATTAAAAGTCACATTAAGGGAAAAATGACTTCATGTAAGTTTGACTGCTGAGTTGTAAATCTCTTACCAAACAAACTAGGTTATCAAGATTTAAGAATTCAGGACTTAATTCTGTCTCCAGCAGGATGGTGGCACCAATATTTATGATGTGTCTGTTGGGCATTTCGGCATCACAAAATGAACACGTGAGTTTGATTCCTGTGCATGTGGGGGTGGGGGAAGGAGGAATTTTTATAGAGTATCTCCGACTTCCATCTCGAATGTTGTATCCCTCTCAGCCTCGGTTGGCCCTGACTGGTAGGGACAAAACAGCCTTCCCTTTAAATAATCTAAATAGGGTCAATGAGGGTGTAGAACTTCTACAATTACAATTTTAATAGGGTGGGGAGAACAGCCTTCACAGCTATCCAAACATCCCAAGATCGCTTCTCCGCAAAGACAAATAGAGAACCTCAAAGCCAAAGACATGGCAACATACAGACATCTATACTAAAATAATTATTGGTATTGTCATAAATAGTAAAAATCACTTCTATAGCACCCACTCCCTAGGCGCTCCACAATAAAGCAAGATTTAAATCAACGTTTCAAGTAAACTGGCCCATTCAATGTATAATCCTGTTAAACTCAACAAACCTGTCGCTACATCCTCTTCAATTTTTTCTCAACCATTTGTAGGTATTCACATGGAATAAAAAAGGTTTGACTTTACAACTTTACCTTAAGGGAAAAAATTAAAGCAGGATGACAAAAAGAGAAAAAGTCCTTCAACTATTCACTGTGTCAAAAAAGAGGACAAAACAATTATGATTACTAATCCAACAATTCTTGACATGGCACGAGGGCTGAAAATTGTGACGATGCTGATGGCAAAGAGTACACACACCTGAACATCAAAAACTTGTGGTCTGTGAGACATATCAAAAGTGATATCTGGGTCAAGGACTTTTCGAACCAGAAAATTATTTTTTGCACCAGAACTCTCCAGCAAACCACTGCAAAAAGACAAAAGATACGAAGTAAGTGTTATTTTGGTAGAAATTTTACATATAAACTTTTCTTTAATGAGGGTGGCCTTGACCTTGACCATCAATGATTTATTTATAGAGGCACCAGCCATCAGTAATGAGGGTGGTTTGAGTGTCTCCTTTCCTCCATCCACTAAAAACAATGCCTGAGGGAAATTTGTATGAAATATTGCTTTTTAAAGTTAAAATTTTCCAGATATTTGTGTAAAAGGAAATAGTCCAGTCTAGAACTTTACAAGAAATATCAAGGTTTTTGGAAAATTCTGGGTTGTTTTGTGACTGTTTTAGTTTCTTTATAGAGTGTGACTCCTAGTCCTACAAGGTTCAGCAGTCATAATTTTGCTTCTGATCACAAGCAACGCAACCAGACATTTTTGGTTGGAAGAAAATTTTTTAAAAAATTGTTTTATAGATTACGCAAATACAGTTGAACCTGATCCTGTGGCAACTTGTCCAAGATATTCACCTTACGACCATTTACCACATACCCCTTGCCGATAAAAAAAGTCCCAGATGTCCACCTAAGAAAGCCACTTATCTCATGACAATGGATGGCTGTCCTGGATAATTTCAACTGAATTTATTATTTGACAGCTTTAAAAAAAAAATAATTCTGAATGAAAAATAAGGCCATAACAACACAAACAATATAAACTGAAATTGAGCGTTCAGTCAGGGAAAAACGGGAAAAAGAACAAGAAAAATCGGAATATCATCATCTTGAGCGACTTAGATCAAGACTTAGTGGTAGGAGCTGAAGGCTATGGAATCAACCATTGCTTGGAACCGTCAGCATCTACACACTTTGAGATGTGCTTCTTTAGGGGACAGAGCGCTTATGGGGATGCCCCTTGTGCAGAGATGTCGGTCCTTCACACAAGTAACACAAGTAACCTACTGTGAAGGACACCAAGCGTCTACTAACAAACAGGTCATTAACAGGTAGAAAGAACATACAGTCTAGCATACACATAGCGAAATCAGGGGTGACGCTGAAATTTTTTCATTACATTCATGTATCAGAACAAACTTGGGACCTGTAAATCTGTTTGCTATGCGCGTGTTTTGCTATGTGTGTGTTCACTATGTGTGTGCAAAACTGTACTTGCAAAGCTTACCTGTACTTTTTGTGACACTTGGAACGCCTGTCTGCGTCCAAAGCAAGTACGCTGGCACTGGGGTTTAGCAGCGACAACTTTGTACTCAGCATGGACATGTAGCACTGACCTGAAATGTCAACAGTTCATATCAATGGCATCTTGAAATGATTCTGCTTCCTCTTCCTTCCATTACTCTTTTTCTCAAAGCCTTAACTCTCCCACCTGCCCCACATTCTTTCACACTGGCATATCTGAAGAATATATCAAAAAGCCGTACGAGTTGTATCCAGTATTCTCCTGTCTTTTAGTTTAAGTTTTCAGAAACAGTTTTACAGCACTTGCAACACAATAATGTGATACAAGTGCTGAATATAAGAGTTGTTACAAGAGAGTAACAAACAAAAAAGGAGGAGAGATAAGGAAGAAAGATGTTTAATATGAAAGAAGGAGCAAACCAAACCAGGGCACCCGCCAACCACTCACGTACATTTCATCACTGAGCAATTAGAGAGAGGTGAAAATAGGCAATCTCACTCACAAGTGTTAAATAGTATTACAGACTCAAGCATTTTTCCTTACCCGAAACAAAAGCTGCCAGGTCAGCGCCTCTTTTGAGTTTCCTCGTAATAAGAGGACGGACCATACTCCACAGGGCTTGGAACAGTTTTTCTTTATACTTTTTCTCCTATTCATTGATAGAATACAAAAATATAATATTAAAATTATCAAAAACTTAAAAGCACACAGAGGAACAAGTTCGGAATAATATATTTTTTAAAATATTTAAGAGCAATTCTGGAAGTTGATTTTAAATGAGTCTTGAACATTGGCCTGTGAAGAGACCAAATATAGCACAGGAGACAGCTAGGTCACAATTGTCAACTGGCTAAAGTCAAACTTTCAAGAAATTGTCCTCGCAGTCAGTGCAAGATTTGTGAGTTGTGTCTCTATGTCCAACTACCTCCTTTTATCTTTTATGCTTCTTTGTCTTCTTACTTTGCTGTTACCTGCACTTGCCACAGTCTTAGTCATAACATGCTTCTCTTAAATTCAAACTAACAAACAATCTCATCACAATCTAGTAGTAAGTTAAAGGCTACTTAAACAAAACACTCACCACATGTTTATTTCATTATAGATGTAAAGTAAAAACACACATTCCATCATTCCAGGTCCTTTTATGTTCAAAATAGGTCCAAACTTGCAAAGCAATATCCTTCAGTTCTATTAGCAGATATACACATCAAAGTACCAGTCTACGTAAAAAATAGGGTATTTATTATTTTGTTACTAAAAAAAGCATGATTTGATTTTTTGCGCAACTGAGAAGGAATAAATCCGTTACAGTCTCCCTAAAGCTTACAGTGTTATTGCTGCTTCCTGTACTAGAGGGTAGAACGGTAGGCTGGGGTGTTGAGTCAAGTGAGAGGAAATGATTCCTGCTTCTTTTCCACAAGGGAACAGAGTCCTGGCCGTCACCAACTGCTGGAGATTCTCCAGAAAACTTCCACTTGAACTGTTTGGCTAAACAAAACATTGAATAAACACTAATAATTCAATAAATAACTATGCATTAAAAAGGAAAGCAAATCAAAAGGAATGGCATTTCTATTTGAACTGATGAGTAAATATGTTGTTGTTATCGATCCAGGATGAGTAAATATAAAAGAAGAAAAATGCTTCTGTTTCTCTTCTCTTTTTAAAATGTTTGAAACCCCAGGATCAATAACCATTATATATTTTGTAAATACAGTCAAAATTGCTCAAGACGGTCAACTATTGGTCAAGGAGTAAAGATTCTCTCTTAGAGAAGTAAACAACAACTTGGACAGTCTCATATCTATACCAAAAAATGCGAATGGGGAGTAGGATGTGGTTATTTGTCCAGGTGATTGTTTTAGACAGGTGCCCATTAGAGCAAATTTGACTGTATTGCATATTCTCATTTAGTCTCAATACCTGCCCAAGTGAAGTTGAGGGTGGTGTATGTTGTATGTGTGTGTTTGGCGTGGGGAGGGGGGGGGGTGGCAAACTGTCTTCATGCTGACATCATTGTGTTGACAGAAGGGTACCAAAAATTAGCCTAAGACAAGACATTGAGTAAACTGTTAAAAGAAACATATTTACCTATGTCAAAAGGCTGAGCAATGTGCAACGGATCAAAGTCCAGAAGTTTTCTCTGCGAAACATTACATCAAGCAGAAAGTTTAAGATGTAATCATTCCAAAGTAGGCGTCATCAAACTTTTTTTCAGATTGGAAGGATAACTCAGAGAATGCTGAGTGTAGGCCGAAAAACTATTTTGTTAACTACAATATACTGCATACATAAAAAATAAAGTCAACTAGTCTATTCATTGTGATTTATCAATAAACAAAAAACAAATAAATAAATAAATAAAAACAATCCATAATTAATTTGCTAAGCAGAGTTCAATGAAGCGGTTAAACCATTTTTGGGTACTAAGTCCTGAGCATGTTACAAACACATCTTCAAAGTTTTTGGAGGTTTTTTAAAATCCGAAATGGCACCAGGCCAGATGAAATGATCTCACATGCAAGATCTGGCCCACAGCTCGTAGTTTGATGACACCTGTTCTAACACAAAAATGTTGTAATGTTGTGCTGAACTTATTCAAAAAGTTATTAGTAAACAATGAGGGACAGTCACTGAATTCAAACAAGGTTGCTAGGTCCAAAAACCCTCCCAAACTGTAAATATTAAATCTCTAGAAAATTATGCAAAATATAGGTAGCAAAAAATTCTGAATTTGACACAAAATGACACAAAAAGCTACATTTTCTATCAAGTCGTTAAAGTTCATAAATGTGGCTAGAAAACCACAAAAAAAGTAATTCTTCTTCTCTAGGTGATTCAAATGTAGCCGAATTATAATTGTTATACTTACCATCCCAGCTTTAGAGTTGTCTGCCTCCTTTTTCAGTTGTGGTTTCATCAAAACAGGCTTCATGTCTTTATTGATGATGGCATCTGGCTTCTCATTATTATGGATGACAATATCTGGTTGTATCTTTTCAACCCTTCCGTTGTCATTTTTCTTCGCCCGTTTTTTCAGTAATTTTCGTATGTCTTGTGAGGACTCAGCCGACCCAGTGGCACGAGGCGGCTCATTACTGGACAGTGTTCCTCCGTTGACAAATTTCTTTGAGACTTTGGGGTATATTTCTCCTTCTTGAGGATTCTTTAGAACATTCTTGACGACCGACCTTTCACCGAGATCAGAATAAGCTTTGGTTAGACTTTTCTGCTCCTCCAAGGGTCGCCCGTCTATAATGTCAAAACTTCTTCGAGATTCAGGCTGGGCAGGACCAGCTTCTGGTACCAGCTGTAGCCGAGATAAGAGAGTTTTACTTACATCCACAGACGCCGGTTCTTCCCTATTCCACTGGTCTTCCATGCTGTTTATTTTGTGTTGATCGATTAACTTACCGACCAGTGCAGCTATCTCTTTTTTACCAAGGCTTTGTCCATAGGCTGGCTGATCATTTCCAGCACTGACCTGGCCTCCTTTGTCAACATGGGGGGCTTCAGATTTTGAAGTTAGAGGAATCCCACTCTGTTTGAGCCTGCTGTCATGTCTCAAAGGTTTTTGGACAAAATCTTCAGAGATGAATTTGCTCTGTCTCTGCAAAGGTGAATAAAACTTAGTCTGCAATGTTTTAAAGAGAAGAGACAAAGAAAATCTTGCATCATGAAGTCATAAAGCCTGAAATACTTTTTAAAAATGAAAGAAAAGCATACTTATAATCTTCTCAAACTATTGAAAGGAAATATAAATAATAATTGTGTACTGGAAATTTTTCATTAACGCACTGCTTAATTTACTGGTCCAGCTCCCATAAAAAGAAAATGTGAAGAGCAGTAAAAACTTTCTATAACACTATTTGATCAAAAAGGTCACCAAAAATAATAAAATGTCACAATAACGAAGGTCCAAGATTAACCCTTAGATTCCGGGACAACTACTGACACTATCCTGCATTATTGGGGGTTTTTCCCCTTGTTTTCCTCATGAATCTTGCCTGAACAACAGTTGTATCCTCATGTACCATAATCATCTTCATTCTTTTCGAAAAATATTGCTGGGTGATATATGCTTACAGCTTGAAACTTATCTTTTTTATGCTGAAAATGCTAACATTTACATTCATTTTAAACTAAACTTGCTGCAACAAATCAGGGAATAGGCTTGTAAGAATTAAAAACAATGAAACAGCTTACATTTGCCGACTGAGAAGATCGTTTGATCTCCCCACCTTTGACCATCAGGAGTGCTGGATCATCTATTGACACTGTTGCTCCTAACAGTGATGAGAACAGTGACAACTTTGACTCTGCAGTTAAATCTGTAAAAAAAAGAAGAAAAGAAAGTTTCCTTAACTCTATGACGACCAAACAATTCACCTGACTTGGCTGTTAGCTCTGATGTATCAATGAAGTCCAAGCCACTTTCACCTGTTAAATTAATTCCTTTCTGTCAATAGGCGAAAAAAGGCCTAGAAAGAAATAGGGACAGTTTGACTCCATAGTAAAAAGTAAAACTGTTCCCACACCCGACCCAGATATTGGGGATTGCTTTGTTAGTGAGACAACCTCCTGGGCCTTCGGCATATTGTGGTAGGATGGCCAATTCCTTTCCACGCCGCCTTTACTTCCCCAACTCGAAGTCAGGTACCCATTACTGCTGGGTGGGCAGGAGGGGGAAAAAAATCTGTCTGAACCGAGGCTCGAACCCAGACTTTCCGCTTCGGAGACGAGCACACTCACCGCTCCACCACCGCACCCTCTATAGAAAAGAATATATATATATATTTTTTATTTGAATTTTAGCTATTCTAAGAAGGTGGGGAGTCTAAGGGAGCTTCTTTACATCTATGACAAACAACATGAACGAATGATTTTACAAGAAATGAACAAATATATCCTTCATACGCCCAAACTTGTTGACAAAACGATCGATCTTGAGCTTGATCTTCTTCTGACTAGAAATCAGCGTCAGAATTATGTCCAAATTCATTACGTTTTTTATAAATTCATAACTGATAGGAAGAGGTAAAGAGAGACATTTCATGTGGGTGATCACACAGTGCGCACAATGGAGTATGACGCGGCTAGAATTTAAGGAGAAAATGCAGCTGAGCATTCTGAGTCCACTATTGAAAGATTTTGATTTTTTCCCCATGGAAACGAGGGAGAGGTGCAGGTGACTGACGTTATTCTGTCACATGCATTCAGGCTTATATTCCTGTTTTGTTCATGGACTACAGATGCAGAAAGCTGCTGAAAAGCATGGTTACTCTTATAATCTACAAGTCCATTTTATGCTAATCTATAAAACTTAACTGGCATCTGTGCTGTAGTGGTTAGACTCTTTAGAGGGAGCTCTCATGGTCAAGAGGTTACGGTGTTCACCTCTCACTCAATAGGTCCTGAGTTCAATTATATTGCACCTCCTATTCTGCTCTCTAACAATGTTCTGTTGTCTACTTTCATCTCCACTTTCTGCCCCCATCCCCTCACCTCCTTTGCCCCCTCCTCTGGGCTCTTGACTCTTTCTGAAGCCTTCTACTGCTATTCCTTGGCTCCTTCTTACTGCTGTCTTTCAGTAACACCTTTGATCTTAGGGTAGGCAAGATCTAACATCTAGCATTCTCGGATAAGGACGAAAAATCTCGGAGGTTGCACGTGCAAATTGCACACGTTAAAGATCCCTTGGTGGTCCAAATCGATAAAAGTAGGCCTCGGCCACCACCCAGGCATGTTTAATGTGCTCCGCACCCTTATACAACCAAATGTGGTTGCGAGTGCCGTAAAACAATTAGAAAAAAAAAAGACTTTAGCAATTACACACAAAAGATGAGGAATTTTAAAAAAATTAAATATCTTCATATGCCTACAGGGATGTTGCATCCCATTCAGTCTGGTTTGGTCCTGACAGGTAGGGTCAAAGGAATCTACCTCCTTAAAGATCATACTTGTGTTGTTGCCTGCATAATATATTTACAATTACAATAGAATTAATACTGTCACTTAAAACAGAAACATAGTATTAACCAAAATCATGTTAAGCAACAATAAGTTGTTTCTTTTTCATACAATAACTTCTGAGCCTACTTTCAAGTCAAAGATTTACAAATAATATTTAAATGCATATTCATCGATTATACATGTCAATTTTAAACTCCAATTGAAAGAGGTGGGCATTTTCACTTAAAACAGTTGATATTTTATTACTTTGATTTGAGCCAAAGTCATATACGTACTGGATTGTTCTTTCAACAAAAAAAAACACTCGATGGCTAACACTGACTACTCACTATAGTTCAAAAGAGAGTTGAAAGGGACAGAACCATCAGGGCCAGGGCATGGAAGGCTTTTGCTGCTTCCATTGACACACTGAGGAGAAAGAAATAGTCCAACCTGCTCAAAAGACCACCAGTCCAAGACAATCACCAGTACACACAACAACTTCACCCCCCCCCCCCCCCCCCCCAGCCCTCTCCTCCTCATAAGTCTGGTTAATTGAAGTACATGAAATTTCTCTATTTATCTATACTATAACATTATCCAACTGAGCATTTTTGAGTCTCCCAAGACTGTTTAACTTGGCTGTGTCTTCACTCAACTAACCATGCTAATTGTGTGTGTGTGTGTGTGTGTGTGTGTGTGTGTGTGTGTGTGTGTGTGTGTGTGTGTGTGTGTGTGTGTGTGTGTGTGTAATATTAGTGTAATAGTAATAACAATAATAATAATAATTGCATTTATGCAATGCATATTCATGCTTTACAGAATGCCTATGCATTTTATAACAATTGTTACCCAAGTAGACCCTAGAACTCCAACTCAGAAAAATTCTCAGCTTTGTAAGAAGCACAGAGTGTGCATTTTACTTGAAGACACTGTGATGCACTCTTAACTTAAGTAAGCCTAACCACTCACCTCCTGACCCCCGACTACAAATGTCGAGTCATTCCAGTCAAGGCCTACTCCTGAGCTGAGATTGAAGGAGCACAGGCGCACACCTGACAAAGCACATACCTTCTGCAGCAAGCCCTTTGGGTTTTCCCAGGCAGCTTTGAAGAATTCAACCTGATTTTTAAAAGAGTTCAAATATGTATTCGAACAGCACCCAAAAAGGTAAAATGACATCAAAATTGAAAGCAGTTGTCAGCCGTATAAAAACTGATGCTAGCTCAAAAAGTTAAGCAAAAATGTGTAAACAATAGCTCAGCTTGTATGTATCCTCTGAAAGGGATGCCCACCCACCAGCATTTGTTTTAGTAATCAGCTATTAAAAAATTAGTAAGCTGGCTTTAAAATTCGTATTAAGGCCATGGATAGTCTTCTTCCATGGGGTGTCAAGGAGAGAGGCTGTAGCCAAGCAAGTATAAATGTAACGTAGACTACAGTGTGATGAAAGAAAAAGAGGTCCTTGCCTTGCACCTACCTCAGCTAATTGTTTCAAGTTTCAAACAATGATCCATTTTTTGAAAAATTCTCCCATTGGTCTAGGATGTCACCAACAACAAAAAAGGGGCAAGGATTTTCTAATACCTTGTCAATCTAATGTTTGCCTTACTCCTGGCTTTGCGACTTCTAAAGTCTTATGTTTTTCTCAGGGAAAAGTGGCACTGAGTGACTAGAACGGCTCAATGCAGAGAGGGTGTTAATACTGTTAAAGTTAGACAGCTGTATGTGAAGCAGTGATGAAGACTGTCCGGGTCTGGTAGTTTTTCTCTTCTTATTCATGGGGAAGGTTGGCAGTGGGTTGTGGTAGCCCAAATTTGTTTAAGAATTAGAATCAGGTGTATTATGATCATACTTTCAGAGAATTTAATTAAAATTTATGGAGGGAAGCGCTTTTCTGACAGGGAAATTGCTTTCTGAATATTTTTTTAATAGGATTAAATCAATTTGATTAATCAAAGAATTCATTAATATCAATATTAGTCACAAAGTATCATTGAGAGAAAAAAGCAATAAATTGTCAGATTTGAAGATTATTAACTGATTGAACACATGATTTTGAGCACATTTTCGAGGATTTTTGGGGGGGATGCGAAATCTTTACTTGTCAATATGACCTATAGAATTTACACACTTTTAGTACAACAAAATATTTTTAAAATTTACTCCACACAGTTCACAACAATAAGATATATACTTCTTAACCCTATCCGTACGTCATGTTTTACTATCACATCCATACAACATGGGGAACTATGCGCAACCACTTTCCAAACAGGAACTTTACTCGTTAATCCGATCCGTACGCTTTGCATAGCAGTCTGTCAAAAAGATTTTTAGAGATATACTGAAAGTTTCAAAGAGATCTTCGTACTAGAAGTATTCTAAAATGTGAAGAATACAACCCCATGGGTACAAAATGACCCCAGGGCGTACGAATAGGGTTAAAAAAATGTTGTGTTCCTTACCCTATCGTTACTGACATCAAAATGAACAATGAGTCTTCGGGAAACCGTCAGTAGCTTGGCCATTGACTCCTCCACCTCATGGGGCAACAGACCTTCTGTCAGCTCACTCAGACCATTCAGCAAACAAGCGTTGTAGTTGACCTGAGATATAAAGTCACGGCACTGAGCTGAGATATAAGTTTCTGGGGATTTGGGATTGTTTTTGGTTTTTTTAAGTTTTAGCCAGAGATCTCGACCTATGGCACTTGCAATACAAATAGGTCACATAAGTACCGAAGATTAGGTCTTTCTAATATATAACAGGAGTAAATTCCATCTCAAGATTTATGTTCTATTCATAAAAAATAACTTAAGACTGTGCCTAGTAAAACTAAACAATTGGAGGAACGGCTTTTTCAACAGCTGCTCCCTCAGTGAGGAATTCCCTCTCACTACATTTAAGAAAGGCACCTACTTTGACCACATTTAAATGAGGTCTAAAGACACATTTATTTAAATCCCATTGTATTAACTAATTTGATTCTTCTTCCAACAACAAGTATGATATGTAGAATCAGTGGTTGTTTTTTTATGTATGTGTTTTTTGTCAAAATGCAGTTGTATATATGTATCTGAAAAAATCGTTGAATTTTGGAAGGGCACATTACATTTATTTTATTCCTGTAATATTTGATATTTTATTACTCTTTTATACTAATTATACATAAATTTCATTACCCCTCTCAGAGTAACTTAGAAACAACGTGCATATATCGTCACTGCCATTCAATATTGTAGGATATCAAAATATGCCAGAAAAATGAAAGTATGTTGTAAAGTTTGATGAGGCACATCAATTGGTCCTCGTCTCATTCCTCTTCTTAGAATAGTAACAGATTTTGCTTAATGTAACATTTTGTACTAAGATAATGTACTGAGCGGAATAAAACAGTTTGTTGTTTCTCCTGAAAACCTCATACTTTGACATACGACAATGATGAATGGCAACGACATACACTTGAGCCACTCACTGCTGATTGCGACAGAACTAAGGAAACAGCTGATTCAAGGAATTCTCCAGGGCCAGGGACAGCCACAAACACATTTGTCAACTTTTCTTCCCTTAAGCGTTGTTCACATCTAAATGCATCATCAGCATCTGTAAATGTCATACACCAAAAAAAAAAAGGGTTAAAAACACAAGGTTAACAAGACAAAAGCTGGAATTTTTTAAATGAAATATTGCAGGTAGATCTACCTCAAAAGCCAGAAGACGAAACACATAACCATAAACGAAGAAAGAGCCAAAAATAGAGGTCTTCTCTTCCTGAAAATTTATACTTTCACAGTTGGTATCACAAAGTAACTTTGAAACAATGATAAGCCACAGTATATTGTAAATTGAATAATTCAAAGAAGAAATAGAAGTAGTCAAAATATAAATACATACCAAACATCAGCAGTACAACAGTATTCCCTTCAGCTTTTAGACCCACAGCGAGAGCCTGGCCACATGACCCAAGAACCAGAACTGCCCCTCTAATCGACGACATACTTGTCCCCACAGGGAGATGGACATCCAGGTGAAGAGAGTTTTGCCAAGGGTTTTTGCCACCTGCGTCATAAATAAACAAAGACAAGTATGTGATAATGCATAAGCTTGTCACAGATGACCTAACCTATAATATCAAGTTAAAGAAACACCAGACACAATTTTTACAGGTAAATGAAACAATTTGTGAACTCAGTAACGTTCATGATGGTATTATTTCTCTATACTAACATATGACAACAACGCAAGCACAAGCTCTCAGTCAGCAGTCCTTATTTCGTCATATGGTCATAGGTGAGAAATGAGATCATGTTTCTTATTTTGTTCCTAATAAATCATGTCCTACATGCACATCAGAAGCCTGGCGAAAAATAAAGTCTCTATATACAAGTCACAGCATATATTTCGTACTTTTCATGGCGAGAACTATACTTCCTCTATGGAAGCCAGCAGCTTTAATAAACCAAAGAGAGTTGTATGTTGAGATGTATTAGTTCACAGTTTACTTTTTACTCTCAATTATGATAGGTGAAGCGTCTTGAGTGATGCATTCAACAAGAGACAAGAAAAGCTGTTTACCCTTTGGTTGACCAAACTTGTACAAATGCCAGACAAGGGAGAATACATTTTGATCACCTCCGACCTCAAATTTTTCTGCAATTTTTTCGTCCAGCTCCTGCAATTAGAACAAGCAAAACATCTTAATGGGTAAGCATAAATTTGTTTAAAATACAATAAGACTTCCATGAAAGATGAATAGCTTAATTAATATTCTCCCAGTAATTTCTTGCTCTTGCACTATAAATAGATTTCAGATGTAATAAAGCATTATAACTGGCGATTTTATAGATAACTCAGCAACAGCCATTATTTCTTCAATAAAGATATATCTAAATAGTATTAGAAACAGGCACACTCTCAAATCATGTGAAATGAAAACATAGCTGCCTTAAGCAATATAACTTTATTAGTTACAAAATCATAATTTACTAAGTTATTGTTTCAACTACTTGTGTATTACATGTTGTTATGCTCACTGGTAACATAAAATGCAAAAGAAGAGCTGGAGAACAAAGGATATAACTAACTTACAAAACTTGAAGAAATAGGTCATGGGACAAGACCAGAATTTTTTTTAAAATCTGATTTCCATTTCAGTATACCAGTGGAAAATTATATGAGAGGCAAACCATGATGCTAAGGCTCCCAGGCCAGAGAAACTCAAGCCTCATGTCTCTCGCTCATGCCTCACGCCTAAACGTGAGAATGGAATTATGAACTGACACAATATTACTTGCGATGGGCCATAAACCTCCGCTTATGCCTCACACTTCACGGCTCACACGTTAGCCTAGAAGTGAACATGTTCACTTTTTTCGAGGCATGAGTCGGGGGCAGACTGGACATCACAGCGTTTCGCCCCCCGGTAGAGCTGGACGCAGGTCAGATTCCATTGTCAACTGTGTGCAATTTTTATTTTCTCGTCAGGATGGATGATTACAAAGCAAGATTAATTGAGTTAGTCCGAGCAAGGCCTCTGCTCTGGGACCCACGTGATCCTGACTACAAAGACAAAGATCAAAGGGCACAAGTTTGGGAAAATCTTTCCAAGATGCTGACTGTGAAAGAGTTCTTCATCAGGATTGTCAACGAGTTGCTGGAATGTCCGGTGAAATTCTCCACTGGATTCTCTGAGCAAAAAAATGCTCTTAGCACCATATTATTATGCTCCGTCTCTTTCGCTTCCTTCTTCTGAGGAACAACAAAATCAGCAAATCTTCTTCGTCCGATGATTCCATCTTAAATGCCCCACACTGACTGTGTGAGGCGTAAAGCATGAGCCCTTATGGGCCAATGGGCAGTGAGGTATGTGCGTGAGACGTGAGTCTTTGCTGTGCCCGGAAGCCCAATGTCTATTTCAGATCTAGCAAATAATGTTGAGAGGAAGATGACACAAAATTCTACAATTCATCTTGCCCCATTTTAAAGAATATTCTCTAAAAAATACAAGGAGAGAAGTACAAACCATCTAATGAGTTTTTGTGTCTTCCTACTTCTTGTCTTTGACTTTGATAAACAACAGATTTTAAAAAAACTAACTGGGCATTGAATTGGATTTGGGTGATTAAAAGGCCTAATATATCTTTATTATTATTATAAATTATGTAGTGACTACATTCACAGTGCCATGAACGTAATTTGCTGGCTATGTTCACGGCACCAGGAATGTAGTTTGCGTACTATCAAAGCTTAATTTTCTCAGGCTCAGGGGTTGCATGTTGAAGTCGAATCTGTTCAGCGCTAACGCTATCATCATTTCTTTTATTTTTATTGTAAATTACCCCACTTTGCCATATGACCGATGGTGATAAGACGAAAATCTAGAGAACTAAATTATATCGAGGACTCGTAGACTGACTCCACCTATAACTTATGCTGCTAACACTAACATTTTTTAAACAACAATCAACAAAGTCAAAGAGAAAGAAAAACGTTCTTTGCCTTATATTTTCTTAGATATCTCAGATTATGACACATCCTTGAAGAGCAGCCATTCAAATTTATATTTTCATTTGTCTGTTGACTTTCGACTGCATTCGTATCATGCTGTCCAGTTCCTAAGTTGCCACCAGTGCCAGTGCCAGTGAAGGCAGAGGCAGAATCATCAGACTCCAATAATATGTTTTTGTAGCGAGCTGGCAATTCGGAAGTGTGAAGAGCCGTCTTAGCTTTGTAATTTGCAAGAAAATCTTTAGCTATTTGTGCTGGTGGTTTGAGGTCTTTGAGAATGTGTTCATTTGCTGCATCAATACGTCCACTGGAGCAAACGTAGATGGCAAATGCAAGCACACTGAAACCGAAAGGAGCCATCATTGTTGACATGTGAATTGGATGGGTAACCACATGATTAGTGTACAAATCACGTGATCATTCTTTATTTTTAGAAAGTTCTTTGATGAACTTTTTGTGTACGTCACCACCCGGAAGTGCTCTTTTATCCCTCGAAATAAATTTGTGGTTTCCGGAAATGTGAGAAACCGGAAAGCTTTCTTCACTCCTTTACAGATCAATAGTTCTTCTCTACTATGGCTTGTTCATTCCTATAATAGAACTCGGAATATGAGCAATATCTTTTGGAAATAGAGTTTTAAGGGAATTTCAGGGGCTTTTAGCTTGGAGGAGAGCCAAGCAGCTTAGTAAAAATAGTTTACCTTTGATCCCAGGTTAGTAAATTCTTCAGGTTTTGTGAGTGAGGTGACTAATGTCAACCTAAAACTCGGGACAGGTGCAGCAGTGGGAGTTTTCTGTGCACCGGTAACAATATAATCATAAAGAACAAAGTATCAAAGCTGATGACAATGAAAGCCAGTGGACTTACCTTTCATATGATCAGTTCTTTATTTTATCCATTATATATAATCTAGATATCTAGAATCTAGATCTCTTCCTAGAAATCTAGATCTAGATATCTATGTCCTATGTTATTGTTAGTTTAGTAGAGTATGACAAACTGTACTAGATCTACCTACTGTACTGTTAGAACTCAACTGTTAGGAACTTAGGTAGGGCCTAGCGCTAGATCTCCAAATCTAGATTCTTGGTCTACTGGTAAGTTGATGGCCCAGGCTTTTGATTTGAATTTGATGATGTTGAGAAACAGCCATGGCATTGCATTCATTGTCATTGTGCAGGCCTACTGAGTTAAGCCTATAAACACGAATGTCAAACACAGAATCAGACCAGAAGACTCGAAATGAGACATCTGTTGAATATTTGAACTGCGCTGGCTTGCAGTCCCGTTTTTTTTTCTTCTCAGTTACTATCTTTGGAAGTGAAAGATATCCGTCGAACTACCAAGGCCGGACGAATTTCAGCTATCCGCGTTATATTATACTGTATTTTACTTTCACTCTCAATGTTGAAGTAGATTAGAAGGAATTAAGGCCTTCTGCTGTAGCCTGTTGACCTATTAGTGACATTGCCTATGATTGCCATTGCTGCACAGCAGTATTACAGTACAGCATTTTGCTTGTTCATTTTTAACAAGAATTTTGATTCAATATCTGTCACAGTTTTTAGTTTTTTAAAATATATATCTAGTTTATATTTTAAAAGTGTCACACTGAGCCTAGATCTAATTTCCTATGAGAATTTAAAAGGACCCTGTATTAAAAAGGCTGTTCTCTTGATGCATGCACAGGATAACTCAAAATTTATAAACTACTTACGGTAAAATTGCCTGCAAAATACTCATTTTGATACAGCAACACCACCTTGCTCCCACATTTCAGTGTTAGCTTACAAGTTGATTTCAACCCCCGGCTGTCTAGACATCTCTACATGGGTCTTGAAATTTACTCACCCGGTCTCTTGAATCGTGTTTCTTAGGCGAACGTTTAAGTGTGATGTTGAGGAAAATGTCCAACTTTTAAATGTTTTATGCTGTAAACCCCTTATTAATTTTTTTAACCTGCTTTAGGCTTACCAAAGAAACGATGTGTCGGAACCTTAAAGTCTCAGTTTGCAAGTGACGGTTATGAATGGGCTTTTAGATTCTGTTGGTCATCCAACTTTAAAACACATGTATGCAAAGAAATATGAGAAGATTCAAAAGAGCAATTTCATTTTGTCTTATTTTAACCGCGGTCAGATGAAAATGAACAAGTAACATTTCATTTTTTTTTTTAATCTGTAAGTCTCATAGGGGCATGCCCCCCTGAGGTAAAAAAACAACAAAAAAACCTGATAAATCTGCAGTAGAGCCTACTGGACCAATTGCACTATAAGTTAGTGATTTTTATATCTTTTATATTTCATGATGTTTGTGTGATGTGAACGAAGTAGAATTACTGCAAATTAACCTAAAAATGTGAGAAAATAAATTTTGATGTTTTGCAATTACTAGGTTTCTAATTGTCTTCAAAATATTGATTTGTGACAGTTTTAGTGGCTGTGTGTTTTGCAGTAAAAAGTATTATGGACCCAAAAACTTACTCATTAAGTTGTAATATTAGTGCAGTAAATAGCTGCTCCCAACTATCCCACCCAAGCCATGCCATACACATGGGTTTTCATCTTATCAAAATTTACAGAGGTGTCTTTCAAAGGCTTTTTCATCTGAAATTAATGTGCTATTAATTGTTAAGACAGTTCCACATTTAGATCTGGTTTTTTTAAGTCTTAAAATGCTGTAAAATTGATAAACATTTTCTGTCTGTTTTTTATCCCTCAGAGTCCTGGTTATTTCAGCAAAATGTCGGCTTCAGCGGTATACATCCTTGACGTCAAGGGAAAGGTAATATTTTCAGACATGGCCTTGCTCTTGAGTACAACTAAATGATAATTCCATGTTACTGTCATGGAATGGTATTTTCTGCTATAATCTTAGGTAACAGTTGGGTCAATTTAAAGTCCTATATAGCAAGGCATTTTATTCAGAGCAGTTTAGAGACCTAGTTTACCATACAGCACAAATATTTAATTGAATTATGCGTAAAGTAAGCGAACACCTGGAACATTTGTTTCTGTTTTTATGAGTAAATGTACTGATGAAAGGATTTTTGCCTGATATATCAATTTGGAAACTAAGTCTCTTTACAGTTTTCTAGATTATACCTTGAACGACAATTGTACTTTTTTATTTTCTTATCGCAACACCTTCCTCAAGAGACCAAAGGTTTTAAGTTTTAAAAATTAAATTGTATTACTATTACTATTTCTCTGTATCATTAATCTGACTAAATTAAACTCTAACAAGCTCATTTCTCTAATGGCCACATCTGGTGGGCACATTCTTGCTCATGGCTTTCTTAGAGCCTTTAGGGCACTTGTCAGGCCGTTTCCTGTTCCCTGGTAATCTCTGTGTCCAGGGAGTGGGGGTAAGTATTTGAATGATTAGAGTGGATGCTGGTTGTTTCAGTTCATCATACACTGAAAGTATCTTTTGTATACACATTTGTGACCCGCTACTCTTTTTTTATCCTCAGGTGATGATAAGCCGCAACTATCGCGGAGACATCGACATGTCTGCCATTGACAAATTCATGACGTTGGTTATGGAAAAGGAGGAGGACAGTAACTTGACACCCATCATAATGCATGGAGAAGTCGCGTTTATGTACATCAAGTACAACAACCTCTACCTCGTTGCTACTTCCAAGAAAAATGCGAATGTGACATTGGTTTTCACATTTTTGCACAAACTAGTCCAGGTAAATTTGCTTGTGAGATTAGCTCTAACTGTATTTTCAACTTTGATAAGGAAAAGGTTTTCACATGGAAATACCTCTTTTATATCTCAGTTTTGCTCATTATTTATACTGTGTGGTCCAGCAAATTTTTTTTCCTTTTTTTATCCTTAACTCTGACATCATGGGACGAATCCAATCCAAAGTAGTAGAGAACTTTGAAATCTCTCCATCCGAGACAAATTCACATATCTGTTTCATTGTCCTCCAATATTTATTCTAAGTTTAAATGTGTGTCAGTTGTCTGTATGTAACTTATGCCTAAATTATGTGGGAGAGTGCATGGCAATGTTAAGTTGATTCCAGTGTATGAGTAGTTTATGTCTATAGATGAATTTTATTGGAAAAAAAGAAAAGCAGGTCTTCTGTGTGCACATGAAACTACAAATCTTTTTGTGACACCCCCCTTCCCACCACCATCACCCCCAGATATTTGTTGAGTATTTCAAGGAGTTGGAAGAGGAAAGCATCCGAGATAACTTTGTCATCATCTATGAGCTGTTGGATGAAGTCATGGACTTTGGCTATCCCCAGACAACAGACAGCAAAATTTTACAAGAGTAAGAGTTTGAATTTTCTTTTTCTTTTTTCTTTTCTTTTTTAAATTCCAGAGTTGGTGGTTAGCAACTTGGAAAAATACCTTTGTTTTTGTACTTTCTTTTTTAATGATGATTAAGATGACGACAAGCTCATTGCTCTCACTGTCGACAATATGTGTTGCTTCAGATCAAAAGAAGGCTAGTGTTGTTGTTCTAATGCTTTCTTTCAATATGTATACTTCTAATAGTCGTTCTCAGAGCTTTCTGCCTCAGCCTAGCTCAAACATTGTTTATTTTGTTGCTGCACTGACATCATAATTTCAATTTTTATTTTATTTTTGTACAATGATGGAAAATTCACAATCAGTCTTGTGTATGATGTTGTAAATATGTTTTTGTAACTGTCATTTGGGACTTCTGTATATATGTGCAAAAGGAGAAAAAAATTACATTAAAAAAAAATTGTCAGCTTCTGTAGTCTTTCTTCTTCGTAGATGTACAAACTTCAACATCAGATTTTGTTTCATTTCCAGATACATCACCCAAGAGGGTCAGAAGTTGGAGATTGCCCCACGACCGCCTCCCGCTGTGACCAATGCTGTGTCATGGAGGACGGAAGGCGTCAAATATCGCAAAAATGAAGTGTTTCTGGACGTTATTGAGTCTGTTAATTTATTGGTTAGTACTTATTTTCCTGTCCTTGGGAATGATTTTTTTTTTAAACCTGGACTAAATCATTTTCCTTGAAATTGTCTTTTGCAGTTGATCATATTTTCTTTGGAAAGAAAGCCTTAGTTTGGCCTTTTATGTGGTAACTGCCAGGTTACATGATTTACCATATCTGATACATCTGAAATATTTATTTTGATATACAGGCTAATGTGCTCGTTTATTTTTAACCTTTAGAGGTAACAAGAAGAAATAAAGGTATTCTTAACACTTTTCACCCACGCACCCACAGACCAGGTTGCAGATACGGTACATCAGTACTTCACCTGTATCTCGTCAAAGTTACCCAAACCATCATTAAAATTTCAGCATACTGAGAAAATTGAAAGTGATGATCGCATGTTCACCGAAAAAGGAATTAGAATCAGAACTGAAAACATTAGATCTAGCTCATTCATCACCCGAATTTTCATCGAGGCGTAAGAGTAAAACAGCACTTATGCTAGGTCTACTCGACATTTTTTTTTAAAATGTACTCTAATTGCTGTGTACAAACTGATTTTCGACCTCAAAGGCCACACAAGCCATTTAGAAAATGAATTTACTTTAGTAAGTGTGCGTGTGAAAAACAAGATCATTACTACGTTTTGTTGTTATATTTATTACACCTTCGCCGATCGGCGTCCCGGGGGGGTGGGGGGGGCATAGTGTTAAGACATAATAAACAAAAATAAAGATGCGATATACATCCCATGGGATGGGTTTTCCTGGGTCACCTCACTTATCTCACATTTTGTAATGTATGCAACTTAATCCATTGTCTTAGGTGAGTGCCAATGGGAACGTCCTGCGTAGTGAGATTGTCGGCTCTGTCAAGATGAGAGTCTTTCTGTCTGGCATGCCGGAGTTGAGGCTTGGACTCAACGACAAAGTTCTCTTTGAAAGCACAGGAAGTAAGTTCACTGCGTACCAGATTCAATTTTAGACACATGCACTCCCCCATTTCCCACCACCACCACCCCAAACAAGTATTTAACCATTTACCATTGATTCTCTTCCAGTAAAAATAGGGAAATATTTGGTTGTAGGTCGTGTTTAGTTTCTTTCCTGCTGTTGTGTCTGTCTTTCTTTCTTTCTTGCTTTTAACCAACTCTAAACGGCCGTTACTGTGTCAATCTGCTTCTCTTTACCTGGAAAACAAAACAAGCAGACATGGTCAAGTTATCTTTTTTTTTTGCGGGGAAGATTCACAATTAAAATTTGTTTTGTTTCTTAAAAAAATGAGCTGTCACTGAAAATGATTTAAATGTTTTTGAGGACAGATTTTGTTTTTATTTTATTCGTTCATCATGGTCATGAAATAGTCATTATTACAATTTGTTTTCAATTTTCAGGAGGAAAGAGCAAGTCTGTGGAATTGGAGGATGTAAAATTCCATCAATGCGTGCGCTTGTCTCGGTTTGAAAATGATCGCACAATTTCTTTCATCCCACCTGATGGTGAATTTGAGCTGATGTCATACCGGCTCAACACACATGTGAGTGTGATGTGGCATTGCGCTATCATGTATACTGTGTGTACCCCAGTATCAGTACATGTTTTCAAAAGTAGCCCAGATTTTAAAAGTCTAATATTTATTGAATCTTGCTCTGTTCGCTTCTCAGAAAGTTATGATTGTTTCAGAACGCTATCAGGTCTGCTGGGGTAATGATCTAGATTGCAAAGTGCATAGAACTTGTTGTTGTGCGGGAATTTACACTATACAAATAAGTGCTATTTATTATTATTTTGTTCCTGCACTAAGTGTTCTTCCAGTTCTAATATCATACTGTCATTTCTGTCAGTATGTTTGCTTTCAAATACACCTGAGATTTCCCTGTCTAAAACTAAATTTGAGTAAATGGTTGTGTTCTGATTTTTGTTCAACTCCTCCACAGCTGCATTGGCATATGTACTCACTTTAGTGAGCCAAAACTTGTTCACTGGCATTTTTCTCCACTGGTGTATAGCCTAGAATTTTTGGACATAGAACTGCAGCCTGTCCTGTGCAGTTGCTAAATCTTGAAAAAGGGGAAAGAAATTATGGCTTTGTTTTTACAGCTCTCTTGAACAAACTTTTTATCTTCTCTGTACAAACCAAAGAAACATCTCAGCAACGAAAAGGTTAACCGAACTGATTAATGAGAGAGTGTTATAGATATTTGTCACATTCGTTCTCAACTCATGTGTCTTGTCTGGTTTTTTTCTTTTAGGTGAAACCTTTGATCTGGGTGGAGTCTGTTATTGAACGCCACGCTCACAGCAGAGTGGAATACATGATCAAGGTAGGAACTGGTTAGGATGATGTACAGTTTTTCAACAGTTTTTGTGCTCTATCCATGTGACTAGAAGAGTATGGTAAATTTGATTATTTTGTTCTCAAATTTTTTGCTGAGGTCGAACTGTGGGTCCCCAGGGAAAATCTGGAGTCAGCATGCTCTATAATAGTATAAAAATACTGTGGGTAAACTTGCTTTTCTCTCATCATTTAAATGAGAGAAAGTGTTTTTGTGTGTTGGATATTTTTCAAGAAACCAGTTACCTGGTTAGAGCGCTACAGTATCCATATGTTCATATGTGGAAACTGGTTTGATTATGCTCTGCTTTACACAGTGTAAAGTGATATTTCTTCAGGAGAGATAAAAAGAAAAACAATTTTGTTAATGTGGTTCTTTTTTGGATGTGGTTCTTTTATAATCTTTTCATGTTCCTGGAGTACAAATGTAAAGTTATTCTAATATCCCTTTTCTTGGAGTCTTTTACCTGTACGGTTTGGTATCTATGGTAGTGACACAAGTGCTTATGGTTGTCATCCTTCAAAGAAAGCATGGTTTTTTTTGGTTGTTTTTTAAAATTAAAAAGCAGAGCACCACATCAATCTTGAAAGGGGTGTTTTGTGCTGGGAAATGGTGAAACACAGAAACCATAGAATTAGTAATGAAGAAGGACATGCCTATTAAAAGCCCTCAGACTACCTACCCAAGAGATGGAATTCTTTTTTTTTTTAAACTTCATAATGATCTTATGACTGTGTGGTTCCCTCCAAGCTTTACTGTAATTATAAAGGTTTACATCCCCCATAGACACAACTTGAATCCTTTAGGAGAGGGACTGCTTGAATCCTCTCTGTCTGTGCCATCCCAGACTGAAAGGGATATGATAGACTGAGATACTAAAAAATGTCCCCACACAGAAATCAAACTCACGTTTCCTGCATATGACAATGAACAGCATAATCATTGAGCTAAACACTGGTTTCCTCACTGCGCCTTACATTCTTCAATTCCTCTCTAAACTACCTCATAAACAATATCAATCCAGAAAAACCACCAATGTGCTCGCTTTGTGACTGCATCTATGAAACAGTTGCAATATCTACACTATGAATGTCACAAACCATAGGATCTATCTCCGCTGACCACCTCTTTTACCCATTCCCTACCACAGACAATACCCTAGTCTGCCGCGAAGAATAAATGTGGAAGACCTACACCTATTTTAAAATTACATTGGACCGAAGGGAAAATGCTGTAAGGCCACTGGATAAACAACAAACTTCACAACGACAATAATTCCTCATTTCCTCAGGCCAAGAGTCAGTTCAAGAGGCGGTCAACTGCCAACAATGTCGAGATCATTATCCCCGTGCCCAATGACGCGGATTCTCCCAAGTTCAAGACCACGGTGGGCAGCTGTAAATACGTCCCTGAGATCAACTGTGTTGTGTGGACCATCAAGTCCTTCCCTGTGAGTGACTCATGTCTTTCTCTGACTTTATCTTTCTTCAATTAATAGAAAAGAAATGTTGTCAAATTAGAGAGAAACAAATGCAGTTTCTGGAAAATAAAGGCCTTGAACATCTTGCTCTTACTGGAAAAATATAATGCAAAAGAGGCAGAAGTAGAATAACTCAAAGAACTGAATCCAAGGGGTATGGGAAAAGAATAGAATAAAATAGATTTTGTGAGAGCATATGAGTAGTGGAACATAATTGTTAATGTTTCTATCCTGGCATTTTAGAAAAAGAATTAATGTTAGATCATCTGTGTTGAAGTGACGCCAAAAATCATCCCCATATCAGGATCTCTAGTAGTTTTACTGCATAAGGACAATACATTTTTTACACATTTTTGTTTTATAAATTAAGCAATGCTTTTTGTCCCTTTTAGCACATCCATGTCAGACATAGATATCATTGGTGTCCGATTCTTACGGTGTATCGCCAAATTAGGTCAAATACTTTTCTTGTCTGAAATCACAACCACAATTACAATTGGTGACACTGTAATAAGTAAAAGGGCCACTCTGCCCAAAATATGAGTAAATCCGGTAGATATAATAAGAATGAAATTACATTTTTTTGCCAAAAATGTGTTTGACCTAATCTTGCGGAAACATGGTCAGAGTCGGACTCAGATTTAGTTTCCATTAATATGGTCTAAAGATATGGGCAACATGAGAGCTGAGGAAGTTGTTTTCAGAGCCTCTCTCAACTGTCAACTGCAATATCGTTATACAAGCATGCCTGTTTGTGGATGATGAAGAGGTTCTACTTTATTTTGTCTTTCCTCAGGGTGGTAAAGAGTATTTGATGAGGGCTCACTTTGGCCTTCCCAGTGTAATGAATGAGGAGATTGAGGGAAAGCCTCCCATCAACGTTAAGTTTGAGATCCCGTACTTCACAGTCTCTGGCATTCAGGTTTGTCAGGGTTCTCTCATCTGTGAAATTTATGTTTTTTCTTTTTGAGACGTACTCTGTATGATTTTTCAGTATTCATTTACCATTTTTCTTAGCTACTGATATTTTAGTATGAGAAGAAAATTTGCAGACAGAATTTTGGTGGAGTATTGGATGAAAAATTGAATTGTGCAGGCAAGTTTGACATACAGAAAAAATTTTATGTCCTGCAAGCGTTCACTCAGTTGGGACTTCAGTTATAAAATCTAAACTTACTTCTAAAGAAGTTGTTTGGGGGCTTTACTTTTTGGCCCTACTTCTTTTCTTTCACTGTGTAGCTTTTGTCTGTATTTATGTCAACTTTTACCCCCAGCTCTAAATGATCATTATTGTGCTGATGAGTTTCTCGTTACTCGATTTGAGTCTTAACTGCATACTCAAAGATTGTGGTAAATTCTCTTCCAGGTCCGTTACTTGAAGATTATAGAAAAGAGTGGCTACCAGGCACTGCCATGGGTGCGCTACATCACGCAGAATGGAGACTACCAGCTGAGGACCAACTGAGCATGTGTCAAACGACAACGTTCTAGAGCTAGGGGAAGATGGAAAAAGCAAGTACTGGTTGTGGCAACAGCGTTCAGGATGATGCTGCTCTGTGCTGGAATGTCAGTTAGGGATGCCACTATTCTAGAAAGAAATGTCCAGAATTTCAGGGAAAAATGTAATGTTTTGGAATGTTCCAGACTTTTGACCCTTAAGACAGTTGATATCATCCCTTATAGTGCATCACTTTTTATTATTTTTGTAGGAGTTAGCAAGTTCAGTAATCCTACTTCAAGCGGCAATCAGAGTTCCAACACATTAGAACTTGTTGATGAAATTAAAGGTTAATGAGATGGTGTCATTAAACAAATGACAGATCACACGTATTATATATATATAACTTTCTATTCTAAACTAGCAGCTTTAATTTTTTTCTGTTCGCTGAGATGTTTCTATAGGAAGTTTTTGGGCAAGAAGTGATTGTCTGATCACTATACAGAACAACCATCAAATGTCTGTCTCTTCTCCATGTATTACGTTAGAACTGCACATCTATCACTCCGTCAGATTGTGTCCTGTCTGTGGTGAAAGTTTCCCAGGAATTGCTTCTCCATGCACTGTTTTAAACTTTTTGTTTCTCGTATAAAAGTTTCTGTCCCCCCCAATTTTGAATTATTTAAAAATATTTTTTAGTATGCATCGTCACATTAATCTGTGCTGGTAATAATTTTTGAGGGATGATGGTAATGCAGTGTGTTGTGGAAATCCTACTGTGTATATGTGGCACCCCCTGACGACATGTATCACACCAGAAATTAATTTGAAATGATTGATATGATTCAAATGAAGCTCAGGTAATTTCAACCTGACACAATACCTGATCAAGGGTTGTTGTTCATCAACTGCACTTATAAGACGGCAGGCATTGTTTGCCATATGGAGAGATATTAAGCAAAAAGAATATATATGTTTGAAGTTTCCCTGTGCAAGAATGATCAGGTGTTTGAAGTCCAACGTTGTCTTGTTGTAAAGTGTGATCAGTTTTGCCAGGTTTGTGGAAAGTTCTTTTGAATGCATTTGTTGTGATTTGTGGCAATGGTTTGTTCCATTGTGTCAAGTTTGCAATGTTCATCATTGATGCAGTTCAATGTACATAATAATGTATAATTGTTTGTATGAAGGTGTTTCTGTTTAACCCTAATTTTACAGCAAGTTAGGTGTCTTTGCTTTTTCCATTTCTGAATACTCTGTTGAAAGTATTGTATCTAGAAAGTAAAAATGTATTGGGGAAATATGATGATAGCCCTGGTTATATTACTGTAGTATTTTTTTGGTTTTCTGCAAGTTGTCTGATGGTGATAGCTGTATGGTCTATGTGATGGGTTTGTTGACTTTTTCTTCTTGGATTGAGTACTTTGTTGTGGGTGATGTTTTGTACCTAATTACAGAAAATGTTCTAGACTGAAAGGTGTTTATATGTGTACTGGCATTGGAAAGTTTTATACTGTTAAAGAAAGTCCTTGGATAAATGAAATAGGTAGATTGTAATTTCTGTTTATGGTGGAGCTTTAGAAAAAAGGCTATATAATTGGAGGTCAGGCTCTGTTGATACAAAGTCTTCTTTTGACTCACATTTAGAAAATTGGTACGATTTCCAGTCTGGCTTTTTAAAAAAAACATGTTATTTGGGAGCTTGAGCGAAAGGAAAGGTTACAGTGGTTAGTCTTTAACATACTTTAACCAAAGTATACTGGCATGAATCAAAATTATCCTCAAAATCGATTAATTTAAAAATGTACTTTTCTAGACAAAGAAAAGCATTTCGCATTTGTGATGACCAATCCTTTTGTTCAGCAGCCAATCCTTTTGTTCAGCAGCTTGAAAGCTTGGAATCAGATGATGTACTGTATGCATTTTTCAGATCAATATACTATATTATGTTAAATTGTCATAAGTTATAAGTACATATGCTTTGTTTCTATTCCGTTTCAGTAATGTAGGCTCTGTCGCTCAAGAAGTTTATTTCACTAACATATTGGGAACTAATTTTTTAGAATTGTTCAATAGAACTTTAATTTATTGCATGTTGAGACTTGAAAGACGTGGATGTGGTTTTGTCAGTCCCATGATGATGTCAAAGACTCAAGCTTGTTTCTAATTAGTGCTTGTCTGCATGCTGCCTTTACTAGACAACTGTTTGGAATTTACCAAAGCATGCGTTGGGAAGTGAGAATCTGTTCTTAAAGTTGCCATTGCTACCATAACTGATTATAAGTTTATTGTTTGACATTTTCTTTTTTTGCTTTGATATTACGTTTTAGCGATAACACATTTTGAATATTATGGATTTTGAAGAATAGTATTGATGGTGATGCTATTGATCATACAAAATGATTGAGGACAAGTGAATGTAAAGCTTGTAATATTTTAAACCTTGCAAAAAACCAGGTGTGTAAATGTTGAGCTGAATAAACAATAAACTTGAATAAAGTTTGCAAGAAGGTCAGGTTTCTTTGGATGGCTGTTTAAGTACAACATGCTTTGACATGTTGTCGAAACCGTCACTTTTTTTCAGTACTGATGAAGGGCGGATTTACTCTTTTTTTTTTTAATGCACTTGTGTCCACTGTGAGGGGTAAATAACTATCAAACAAATTAGCTCACAATTTTACAGACTGTTATTTTTCTTTTTCCAATAGATTGAAGAAAGAAAAAAGACACGGGTGTAACACTCTCTATTTATTCATGACCTTGTATCTTTAATTCATGCAACATTCAGAGTTTTGGTTCACACTGCTTCATGTATACTCGAATGTTTTATTTGAGAAAAGATGTAAATGGTTTGTGATCTTGCAATAAAACATTCCCAGTATCATGGTCTGGTCTTCTTCCGTTTCCTTCCTTTGTTTGATGTTGGAGATGCAGAATGTAAAAGAAAAATTGTAATTGTACATTTTTTTCTTTTGGTTTGTTTTGGTTTTTTTGACTTGGTGTTCTTACGAGCTTACCAAAACAATTTAAGTCATTTAGGAGTTGGGGTTCCTTCCTTGTTTTTTCAGGGCCCACCAGGGCGGAGAGGGATACAACATCCAATAAAGCAGAAAGACTGAGATACTCGATAAAAATTCTCCCCACTCTGGTCTCTTTCGAAGTGCCTGACCGCTGCACCACAGACGCTGGTATTGTAAATATGTTTGCAGCCACATTTGATACAATTTAGATCATTTTGGGCTGTGCTGCTTCAACCCTGCCTGTCACGGCCATCTCAGGCCAGGAGGGAAAACAACATCTCTGCTGATACTGATAGATGGAGATACTGATAGATGGAGATACTTGATAAACAAACCTGCCCACTAAGGCATCTAATCTGACCTCTCAATGCAATGATGAAAAGCTTTACCATTACCCCACAGTTGTCAACATCTAATCTTCAGTCTTTCCTTTTATTCATTTGATATTGAGGACAAAACTTGTCGTCCGCAAGCTGTTAAAATGTTCTAAGCTCGGAAAGCAACATTTATCAGGAGAGATAAAACTGCTCTATTCTTTTTACAGTTGTACCTTATTGATGTATCTTTTCTTGCTTTTTCAACGATTTGAATTCTGAATTTCCGACAAAATATCGCTTGAGCACATGCAACTAATACCACAAAAACAGACTGCCTGAAAAAAAATATCTTTAAAATTTTGGGATTAGTACATCTGACCGGCTGGCCAATGATAATATCTAATTTGAACATAGTCACCGTCTATGGTTCATGTCGTCTAAATGGTATGACAATAATGACTGGAGTTAAAATTTATCTCAATAGTCTTGAGAGAATCAAGGAATCTTTCCGAACACTGTCTCAGGACCTATGTATGCAATAAGAATGCTAACAAAAGAACGTTAAAGATATATCATGTATAGGTGGACAGTTTTTTAATAAAGAGGGAATAATACACTGCACTGTACCATGAGTATTGACATATAAGGACAAGAATCATTACAACGGTACAAATCAAATTCAATTAATTATTCATGTACAAAGGAAATTGGGGATCCACTAAACTCTTTTACGGTGAAATAAAAAAGTTTAAAGAAAAAAGCAGGGATGCCACTGGGATGTTTTGAAAATACCTGAAGATGAAACTTAGTTCCAGTTGAAAAAAAAAAAACAGAAACAGTTAACAAACACAACTTATATGGGCTTGAACAGAAGACAATAACTTAAAATAATAACTATTCTTGTACTTGTAATGAAAATGAAAAAACCCAAACAAACGGCATCCCTGAAAAAAGTTTTAAACTCCAGAGTCAAGAAGCAGTCATAAATTATTCATTCATGCCAAGAAAAGTTGGAGCAATTTCATTTGGTGCCATTTCATGACTCAGGCTACAGACCTTTTCTCAATTTTCTGTAACAAATTATTTTATTACATCCTACAGATAGAATTTGTGGCTTTGACTTTGCCCTTATGCCAGATGTAAGGATGACAAATCCAAGTTTGAAGTACTCTGAGAGTACCGATTGTCTGCACAATGCTCACAAGTCATATCCACTTTAGTTTTAGTAGAGTTTTTACGGTGCTCGCAACTGCATAAGGTCATATGAGCGCCAAGGGGTGGATGTCAACAGATAAGTCCTTACAAGGAATCAGACTTACTCTGCTCACCTCTCTAGCTTCAACAGCACAAAGTCTGCTTCGACAATCAAGGCACCCCGGAAATAGTGGGTCACAAGAGTGTGACAAACATACAAAAGAAGTAGAGGATAAATGACAATAGTAAGGATTAGGAAAGAAAAAGCAGCAGTTCCCTGCTGTAGATCAGGCACAGTTATGAGCGTGACATTGATGAATCAGCCCATTTACAATTCTAATTCTACTGTGCAATATCCACTTTACAGGTGAGATAACCCTGCAAACCTTCGTTTAAAAAACGAGAGAAAAACTCATCAGCATGAGTCATTCAAGTTCCACACAATCACAGTTTCTTGGAGACAAAAATTTACCAAAATACCATTATATTAAAAACAAAACATCAAAAAAAATCCTTAAAACGCCCAGATAACAAATTCACAGGGATGCAGCTGGGATTTTCTGAAAAATACCTGAAAATTTATGAAGTAGCATTTACATACAAAAAGACACTTATTAAACACAACTGATGTGGAATTAAACTGAAAACAAATGCAAAGAATAATAATGGTTCTTCGAGTAAAAATAACGGAAAAACAGCATCCCTGATTACAGTCCCACAGGAAATTATGATCTACAAACTACAGAAAATATAAAGTCTACACGATTCCGCTTTTCCAAACATTTCCTTGGTTTTTCCTTCTATTTTGAGAAATCAGTTGTCAGTAAAGCAACGTGAAAAGGAAGTTGGGAAATGCACCTCAGCACTTGCTGAAGTAGACTGAGCGGCTGATGTGTAGCTCTCACTGAGAGTCTCGGGCAGTCTGTCCCTTCTCAGTGCTTTTAAAATAATAGCATTTAGGAAGATAGACAGTCATAATCATATACAGTCGCAGCTCCTCTTACTGCCACCTGTCCAAGACAATCGTCTGTACACTCCAATCAATCACTTCACTTCCTTCCCGCTAGACTACCCCCCCCCCCCCCCCTGTATTTTTTTCCTATACATTAGAGAATAGTGACACTGTCCAAGACGCCAAGCTAAGACAATAGCTTTTCTCTTCAAGAACAGGTAGCTGACTTAGACAATTTTGGCTGTTGTCTTGACAGAACCATAATCCAAGAACTAAAATTAAAACTATAAACAATGACCAAAAAAAAACAACATTGTTGTGTTAATAATTGGTTCTTAAAAAACATACTGATCAAGATTTGTGCAATTGATCACCCAGTAAAAAGATGAAAAATAGCAAAAAAAGAAGCAGTAAATATACAAGCATTGTCTTTACAACTCCCGTGACATTTTTACAGCTATAAAAACTTACACTTTATACAAAAGAAGTACGGTAACACATATTAATAGCAGCCACTGTTAAATTTTCTATGACATTGGACTGTCAGTTATTGTAATTTAGGGCAAATAGATTTTTTTTTCTTAAAGGTTAGAATTTTAAATCTTCCTCCCACCAAGGCCATATGATATCTTCTTTCTAACTTAGAAATTCATTTACACATTTAGGCAATTTTAAGCATTGCTAGGCAAGTTGAAGGTCATCGCACAAGGAATGGTAAGGTGGGTCAGGCTCATTTGACGTATGTCTGATTCAGACCATTATTCTAGCATGTTCACATACGTCTAAAAAATCTCTACAACTGCAATGTAGGCCCACCCAGTTCCTACTTTCCGTCACACATTCTATTCTCCAATCGCCAAGTGAAATTCCATTGTTAATCTAAACAAAATACTGACAAATTAATAAATACAAAAAATATTCCAAAACAACAGCTTCATGATGACATCACGTATTGAATATTTCTATACACTCCGGCATGAACTATTACAAACCAGCACCAAATATTCAATATACAGATGCTCACTATCATAAGAAAGATAGGATGCAAATTAAAAACCGATGCCAATTTATCATCTATTATCACATGAATAACTAGTGAGCAGAGTTCATTTTAAAAAGTAGTACTGTAAAGAAAAAGAAACATAAAAAAAGAAAAAAAGGATAAATCCAGTTTATATCAACAGATCAAGGACAAACTGTCATGATTTCAGTAGCAGACATTCACCATGGAAATCAACAAGCTGATGTTTCTATAACAGTTTCTATATAAGTCATCAGAAGGGACGTTGCACTGACAAATAGCTATAGGCAGGAAAGTGGTGTTTGAAAGACACTCAGGAAAAATTCAAACCAAAAGCGCAAGAGACAAGAATAGGATTAGGAATTCAAAGCAAAAATGATGTCTTACGTATTCAAAGGATTTCTCATTGCTCACACCGTAAAGCTTCGCTAAATATAACATCAGATGGTGTAACATCTTTAAGAAAAATGAAGGCATCAAGATATCTAATTGAAATATAAATCCATTTTGTGCACAAAATCAGTCTCTTCACGTCACATTTTATATAATTATCTGTCAAAAGGACAAAGTATCCATTAACCCTTTTGAACAGAATACCAACAAAAATAAATGGGTAATTCAGCCATCAACAATTAAGAATATGATGTTGCATTTTTTTTTTTTATTCTTAAAAAAGCCTATCTGGACGAAGTCAATGCAAAGCTTACAACAGTCGCTTTTCCTTGTTATACAAAACAAAATAGATATTCCCACAATTTCTCCAGATTCCAAAATTCTTCTAAATGTCCAGCTCAGCACTTTCAGTTTCAAGCTCTGATCATTTCATCATCACTCTCTTCAAAATCATCATCATCAACTTCTCCACTGATGACAGAACGCCGCTTTTTGATGACAGCAACAAGGAAACTGATGAGGACAGTCTGAAAATTAAGAGATTTCAGATTATTTTCGTTTGAACAGCTTCCAACCAATAAATAAAAGATTTCAAATTGTTTTCATTTAAACAATCACCAACCAATACATAAAAGATTTCAAATTGTTTTCATTTAAATAGTCACCAACATATCTAATACATTCTGAGGATCTGTGAATGGAAGTCATTTTTTTTTTTTTTAATTAAAAAAATATGAAGGCCATTCTCTGTTTACTAGCATTGCTCCTCCCAATCTTGTCAATGATGGAAAGCTTATGCATTTTCAAGACTGAATTTGCGAATGGTAATGCAAACTAAGCCCATCAGTTGACTGGGGAGACCTTTTGCAGTAGGTCTATTTTGAACAGCTTCAATTTATTGAACACAGTAAAGTGTGTTTGTGAAAGGTTTGGAGGTCGCTTTCTTGGCAAGTGCTAATCATCTTGACCTGCAACATAACTTGACCTGCAACATAACTAGAGTCTTTTTTGGGGGGGGGGGGGGTTTCGAAAAATTGGCAGCTTATCATTTGTTTGTTCTTGAACTAGTATTGTCTGGGGAGTTTTCAAGGCGCTCGCCCATTTGGCTAGGTCCTATCACAGATGGACGTTAACCTCGGAGGTCTGCCTCTTAAAATACTAAGCAACCAACCACATTGCAGCTAACTAGTTTTCCAGTCATGTAAATACTAAGATACACACGAAAACACACACACAGAGTTTTGTTTGTTTTGCACTAGCAGCAAGGGTAGGTCTTTGCAGTCCTCTCTCTGCAAAAACAAATAAATCACTAATATTTGAAGATGTACCGATTAGAAAGCTCACAGTGTAAAACTCTCTAGCTCAGTAAATAACGGCCATACTTCTCTTTCCTGCAAGTAAAGCAGAGTCTCTTTCTATAAAAAGGTCAGTTCGGGATCACATCAGTAAAAACTTTCAAGATTTTTAGAACACATGACATTTTTGTATGTTATATGCCAGACTGGTTTGTTTATGTCTGCACCAATGACCTTTCTTTCTAATTTCGAAATACAAAGTCCTCGAAATTTCACTTCAACAAACAAAATCCAAATAAAAATTGAAGGAGAAAAAGATTAGAATATTTGAAACTGTACAAAATAAAAATAGGCAAATGATTCACTCAATGAAGTCAACCCAAAATCAGGCAGCAAGTACCCAGTGTCACACCAATTTGACCCTATAGTACATTCAACTAAAGTGCAGCAATGTTCGCAGTACATGTATTTATGTATAGTGGTTATTGATTTGTCAGTGATACATCCGAGAAAAGTTAAGAAATATTCATGACAGTAAAATGCGTATAATTTTCACATAACTTACCCCCAGGAACACCCAGGTGAGCCAGTAGTAGGCAGCACCAAACACCCACATCTTGTAGAAGAATCGGACAAGTAACAGTGTCATACGCGTTACCACACAGAAATCTGAGAAAAAAAAGACAACAAACGTCAAAGTCTTCAAGCATCAGTATGAAGTATACTTGAAAAACAAATGGCCAGTTAGTGTTTAGAAGAATTAAAACAACAGACGAAACATATCAATCCAATCATCTAAAGCTATGAAAACATAGGTTGGGTTGTATTCCATTTATACTATTAACAATAATAGTAAATAACCAATTTCTACAGAGTCAACTCCCCAACTGGGTTCTAAGTGCTTTACACAAATGATGAAATTGGTCATTCAAGCAAATAAAATCACTCACACCCATCTATACACACAAACATGCAGACAGTTACACATACACACATTAGCACACAGACATAAGGGCACAAGTAGTACATATTCATTTAACCTCGCTTATGCTTCAAAATTAACAGACTCTTAAAAGTATCATTTCAGTTTAAAAATGCAGGACAGTAGTATCTCTGAAAAAGATGAGCTTTTGAGATTTCTTTTGAACGTTTTTAAATCAATGACAGATCTTAGCTCATTAGGCAGTGATCCATACAGCTGGGCCACAGAATATGGAAGCCCCTGCGCCATAATTTTTAACCCTTTGAGCCCTTGCCAATGGCACATCGATGGTGCGTAAAACTGCCCGTATACCTAGCCACAGGTACAGCGGTGAGCAAGACCGTATCCCCAACCCGGCCCGCCGGAGACAAAACGTTAACAGAAAACAGCGTTTACTACCCAAGACGTAATTGATTATTTTGAAGATCTTTCTGAATTAGATGCTGTTAATGACAAGAACTACCCTGAGCGGGATATGGAATGTGATTCTGACGATCATATGAATTTTAGTAATATCGCTCATGAGCTCAGGCAGAGGGGCACGGTAGCCTCAGGAGGTCAGGGCTCAAAGGGTTAAGATGTGTTCATGATACTGAAAGCAGGTTTCATGTCTATGTGTCAACGTCACTAGTAACATAAAGTCCGATATCAGCACCAACATTATTTAAAGCCCATGGGGCATGAAACAGTGTTTGTGCGAAACAAAACTAATATGTGAGGCATCATGGTGAAATTAGGCACTCGTCAAAATAATGAAAGTAACGAAACAGACACTTTTCCGCTGGTTTGGCAATTCTTAACAAAATTTTGTTTCTTAGCTTAACACTTTCTATGTCTATTGAAGAACTCATTTCAGTGTGAATAATATTGAAAAACGTTTATTAAAAGCACAAAAAATGTAAATTGTTAGTTTTCACGGACTCTGAGGCTTTATAAATAACCACTTTGGCAGCCATTTTCTCACTAATTTTGCCGCTGAAACCAGGCAACCCCCACCTCATTCAATCACAACTATCTCCAACATCAGCATGTAGTCAAAATAAATGGGTAATTCTTTCATTCACAGTAAGGCAAATGAACAAGCTTTAAGGCGATACCAATAACTCCACATGCCTCAAAATTGACGAGCGCCTGATTCCACCACATAGTGACACATATAGAGTTTACCAACCTTCTGAAACTTCCGTAGTGCACTGTTTCACAGTCGTGTGAATCGTTCCGTTCCCCACAAATGTGACATTCGCCTTTGAAATATAAAAAAGGAAAGGTCAGTAAGGCTGGATTCTGTACAGAAAATTCAATAATATTTTCACTTTCCTCTTCTCACCAAACGCAATTCTACTTTTGCAGTTTATCTGAGTAATTTCAAAGTAACAACCAAACCTTCAGTGATAGCCACCCATCCAAGACAATCAATCACTAGTACAAACAATCACTTCACACTTCCTCCCTTGCACTATTTTTAAAATATTATAATGACACCCTCTTGAACAAGTTCAAATGAGCACAAAATGAAAGAACTAGTTGAGCTAAATACACAATCAAAAACTCCCCATAAGATTGGACCACAGAACGAACAGATGGACCAGGTCTTAAGGCCACCGTTAACGCTAGTCTGAGGTATGGATAAATACAAGCAGCCCTTACTACTGGGACACTCAGTGAACACTCTCCTCGAGGAAGGAGCCAAAACATACATAGCCTGTTTGAAATAAGAGAAACTCATCAACATAATAACGGTCATTTGGATCTTGGAAAAAGAAATATTGACAGAGAGGGGGGAAAAAAAGAAAGACCTACTAACACTGACATCCTATCAGTCACAATTTACATAGTGTGCACTGCCAAAAGACAAGTACTACAGCTGAGTTCGTACAGTATTCACCCACAAACTATGCACGACTTACGTGGTGTTAACCGCTAAAAGGCCTGAAAAGGGACATGAATTCATCCTCCAACCACCCACAAATTATGTTGTGTTAACTGCCAAAAGATGAATACTGTGGTGTTAGTTCATAGGCCTACAGAAAGCACCCACCAACTACCCACAAATAACAGTGTTCACAGTACTGTGGCATGAGTTCACCCACCAACCAGCCACAACTTACGTTGTACTGACAGCCAAAAGATGAGCAAAGCAACATGAATTCACCCTCCAACCACCCACAACTTACAAAAGTGTTCATTTCTAAAAGACGAGTACAGCAACATATTTTCACCTTCTAACCACCCACAACCTATGTAGTGCTCATTGCCAAAGACAAGTACAGCAACATATTTTCACCTTCTAACCACCCACAACCTACGTAGTGCTCATTGCCAAAGACAAGTACAGCATCATGAATTCACCCTTCAACCACCCACAACTTACGTAGTGCTCACTGCCAAAAGACGAGTACTGCGGTGTGAGTTCATACAGCAGCACGTTGATGGCCATAACAATGAACATGAGGATCATACAGAACATGAGCAGGCCCTGGGGGCTGGTCCGTCTTGGACGAATCTTGTACATCTGGGGACACACGGAGCAAACATCCATCATTACTCACAAAGCAAACATTCATCATTACTCACGACGCAAACATTCATCATTACTCACTAAGCAAATATTCATCATTACTCACAAAGCATTATTCACAAAGCAAACATTCGTCATTACTCACAAAGCAAACATTCATCATTACTCATAAAGCAAACACTCATTCATCACACACATAGCAAACATTCATCATCACATGCATAGAAAACATTCATTCATCACACACATAGCAAACATTCATCCTTACACACAAAGCAAACATTCATCACTACTCAGGAAGCAAACATTTATCATCACACGCAGAGCAAATATTCATCACTGCACACAGAGAAAATATTCATCATTACTCACGAAGCAAACATTCATCACTACTCAGGAAGCAAACATTCATCATCACACGCAGAGCAAACATTCATCATTGCACACAGAGAAAACATTCATCATTACTCACGAAGCAAACATTCATTATTACTCACATAGCAAACATTCATCATTACTCACGAAGCAAACATTCATTATTACTCACATAGCAAACATTCATCATCACACACATAGCAAACATTCATCATTACTCACATAGCAAACATTCATCATCACACACATAGCAAACATTCATCATTACTCACATAGCAAACATTCATCATCACATACATAGCAAACATTCATCATCACACACATAGCAAACATTCTTCACCATAAAGTGTCAGATTTGAAACAGACATCAGCTATCACGTTTCTCTGTTGATTTCTCCACTTAGATGCTCTAAAAAATCTTTTACTATCAAGGTGTTTCTCTGTTAAATATAACACATTACACGATAAGACACTAAAAAGAGAAAACAGTAGGAAAGAGACAAAAAGGAAGACTATAATTCCACTATTAAGTTACAAAAGACATCATCCAGGGAGTTTAGCTTTATTGGAGTAAAGAGAAAAACATCAGTTGGTTTTTTTTTATATATTTACTTTTATAGTAAGAGTTTTATCGCACTTGCAACACAATTAGGTCATACAAGTGCTGAAGATTAGAAGTTTTACTTGAGAGTAACATACAAGGAAAAAAAGTAAGCATAGATAACGATAAATATCTATGGACTTCATCTCTCCTTCTTCTTTTCTTTGTAAGCTAATGTCAAGCAACATCTCTAATTGTCGGCACTTCTGTGACCTATTTGTGCCACAGGTGCCGTAAAACTCTTACAACAACTAAACACACACCTGTATCCAGAAGAACCAAACTCCAATGTTCTTGATCCCAGACATGGAGCACAGCACAAAGTACGCGATAATCCCCACCATCAGGATGTAGTCCAAGGGAAATGCCTGAGACAGAAAATCATGATCGTGTAATAAAACAATAAAATAAAACAAAACAAAACTTTTTTTTTTAAGGAAAAGGAAGAAAGAGCTCACTGAGACAAGCAAGTGCTGATATGTGGAAAATGCTAGCTTGAGGGAAATTCGGTTGCAGATGAGGAACAAGCAAGAACAAGGCGCGGGGGGGGGGGGGGGTTGAGCATCAGTGTGTGTGTGTGTATGCTGTATTAAAATATTTCAAACAAAGCAAGACTGTTCAAGCGATATAAAATCCAATTATCAGTTCTTTTTTTGTTAACCTATTGCTCAAAAACTGTCTTTTGAAACTGGTGTATAATCTCATTCACTTTGAAAACCCCCTCATAATGATATCTAATCCTGAATGCTTAACAAACAGCATTACTAAGTTCAATAACAATGAAAACCACAAGAAAAATCCACTTTCAAAGGAATAAAAGCACAAACTTTCTAACCACATTGTAAAAATAAATGTGATGCGGCATGGTGAAATCAGGCGCTCGTCAAATAAATAAAATTGAAGAAACCCATTTTTCTGCCAGTTTGGCAATTATTATCCAATTTTTTTTTTTTGGCTGAACTTAACACCATTGTTGTCCAATAAAGAACACATTTCTGGGTGGATATTACTGAAAAACATTGTTTAAATGCACAAAAAAAGAAGTTTTCAGTTTCCAAGGACTATCAAGCTATGGAAATAACCAAACTTTAGCGGACATTTTCTTGCTAATTCTACATTTGAAACCAGGCGACCCCACCTTCTTCAATCTCAAATATCTTGACTTCTGTTCAAAATAGATAAATATTTTTTTCACTGATAGCAAGACAACTGAAAAATTTTTAAGATGATACCAGAAACTCCACATGACCAAAAATTGACGAGCACCTGATTCCACCATGTCATGACACAAATGCTTTTTGTGGGGAATATTTTTATTCACTTAACTGAAACAGTTTTAAGATTAAAATGAATGTAAGAGGGAAATCATCAGAAGCAGTTAGAAGCATGCACTAGAAATTAATTTTTAATAAATAATCAATAAGAAACAACAGATTTTTTTCACATAAACTACCTTTCTGCAAACAGTAAGGATGTCCAAAGGTACAAGAAATCCGAATCAGATTTCACAATTAACACTGGGGGACATAAATTATAATGATGCAGGAGAGAAACAATGAACATCTGTCTGCATTTCCTACGTCATGATGTTACAATCCCATTGTTAGTCATTTTTGTTGTTCTGAGAAAACTTGAAAGTCAACCTTATCACTTTAGCAAATGTGAAAATATCTCCACAATTAGATGTTCGGTACTCAAAACAGAACCCTGCTTAACTTAGGATACAAAACAAGTAACAGTTAATGTTTCCATACCAATATCTGGAAACAGAAAAAATTTGACATAAAAGGGGGGAAAAAACTAACAGACTCTGTCCTTCTGACAAAAAAACCCCTATAAATCTCTGACCTTTTGACAAAACACAAGCACGATGTCCACTGGGTTGGGGAGGTGTCTCTCGGGCAAGGCGTAGCCGCTTTTGTAGCCCAGGCTGTGCATGGCCTTGTCAATGCTGGGGACGAGTGAGAGGTAAGGGAGAGCAAGCATTGAGTTCCTGCCTGCTGTCAGAAGCAGCGACAACTTATGATGTCACAGTGCCAAAAGGAAGAGAAAGACTGTGAGAGGCAACACAGACAATGAAAACAGACAGTAGGCTGTTCTGATTTAGTGAAAATTTTTACAAAACTTGCAACACAGTTAGGTCATAATACTAGTGCAGAAGATTTGAGGATTTACTTGAGAGAAATATACAAAGAAAGCAAGGAAGAGAGATAAGGATGATAAATGTTTGATAGGAAAGAAGGTGCAAACCACCAAAAGTTTGAATTACGACACTTAAAAATAAATAGAGAACAGGATCCTTTGATATGTAAACAATGCAACTTCACTATGTAACTGATTTCATAATGAGAGCTGAATCAAATTTGTGATGTGTGTGTGCATGTGTGTGAGTGTGTGTGTGTGTGTGTGTGCGTGCGTGTGAGAGTGTGTGTCTGTGCGTGTGTCTGTGTGAGTGAGCGTATGTGTGTGTCTGTGTCTCTGTGTCTGTGTGCATGAGTGTGTGTGTGCTTCTGGTGGGATTCAGGCTGCTCACTTTGTCAGCAGAAGGGAGATGAACACAAGCATTGCCACCAGGAAGAAAATAATTCCGAGGATGATTTCAAACGGGCGGAAAACAATTCGGCACTTTCGCAGCCAGCTCTTCTCTGCAGCAACCAGGTGGCGCTCTCTGCGACTGAGAAGTGAGTCTTCTTCTGCCGTTGTCTGGTCTCGCTCCCGCGTCCTTCGGCTGAATTTAGATGGGTTGCGGTACTATACAGAAAGAAAAATAGACAAAAAATCAAATCATTGTAACGGTTTGTTTGTCTGGGACAACAGATGTAACTTGACAAATAGTGGCCATTCAGGTTTGAGAAAAAGCAAAAATGACAGACAAAGTCAAGTGAGGAAAAAAAAAAGAAGTAGGACCTACCAACCACATCCTCCAACCATCTGCAAAACCATAACAAGAATACTGTTTGCTGAACCATGCAGTAAATGTCACTGAGTGGTAGTTTGACGAGTAGGTAAGATAATGGCACCAATGCACCAGGAATAAAATACAACTTAAAAACAATGAAAAGAAATAGGAAGAGAAGACCAAACCAGAGCACCTACCAAACACCCCTTCAATCAAAGAAAATGTTTAATGAAACAAACAAACAAAAATAAACAAACATATCAAATGTTTAAGACATACATGTACACCTGCATACATTTTTTTTTCAGACCTAAAACTAAATAAAAATGTCTTTTGTAATTGTTTTATAGTGTGCAACCCTAAATTCACTGCAGCTGTGTAAGACTGGTCAGAGAGGCAGACTTCAACACATTATAGACACAGCTGATCTATCCTTCCTTTTTTACTTTTTTCTCAAAACAGCTGCACAAGCAATCTGAAGCAATGTGAGAAAGAAAGAATACAGCAATAAAAATCAGCTCTTCTTCCTAGGCCACCATTTCAAATACTTCTTTCAAAACATCATGTCAAATTACAACTCAAGAGCAGCCAAAAAAACCAACAACAAACAAACAAACAAAATAAAACTTACTCTTTCCCTGCGTTCCTCTCGCTTCCTCTGTCTCTCCTCCCGCTGTGCTTGTGTCTGCATGCGTTCTTTCTTCACACTTCTCTTTCCCTTGATCAAGTCCATCGGCATTGCAGACATGCCATAGGCCTGAGGAGGAATTCACAACGTATTTGAATGCTTTTTCTTCTTCCTCTTCACTTTACTGCTACTGTTGCAGGTTCTTCAATCAAAGGCGTTATGGTCTATTATCTAACAATAATGTTGGATGCTATGGTCTTTTAAAAAAAAAATTAAAACATTGAATGCGACTGCCTGTTTTTGAACTATAATGTTGGATTTATTGTACCTTTCAACATTAATGTTGGGTGTACTTGTCTATTTTTTAGCAACAACATTCGGAAATGTGGATTATTTTCAATCATAATGTTGACTTCCTTGTTTTTTACTCTTTACTTTAAAAATATAAATAACTTTCTCAGTTTAAGGTGAGGTGTATATAAAAGTATGGTTTGGTTCAAACGTGTCCTACAACGCAGTGTAGTTATTCACGGAATCACACCTCCATCTCTGACAGACGCCCACAGAGGTAATGGTGCCACATGAGTTAGGATTAACACTCACACATTCACATAATAAAACAACATTAAAATATTACTACATACAAGGCACTGCCAGGGCCAATAAGAACTTACTGGAAAACATTACGAAAAAAAATATATTCTGAGATCATGTACACATAACAGCCCATTCAACCAACAATCAAAATTGTGTTGATACAGTCAAGTGGCATAAAACATTTACTGTTTCATTGTTTCATTAGACAAACAAAGCAAAGTACTCACAGTGTAGAACAAAATTCCCAGCATGCCCACCAGACTGAAGACACTCATCACAAACGACAACGAGTCCTCGATTCCTGAAAAGACATTGACCATACTTTTATATACAAAATCGGGAAACCGGGAAATGGGATTTTTTCCCCTGGGGGCCGGGATGACTGCTAATGGTGTTCCATCCACAAAATGAGAAGCATGAGGAGCACATGGCCTTTTCTGTCTATCAAACAAACCGTTTTGCAAGTTTTAAAAATACTCCTAAAACATTCACAAGGCTATAAACCATTTTACCATTTCTAAACATAAGAAAATTATTCATAGCAAAAGTTCAAGAAAAACACTCATAAAATAATCACACATCTCACCGTTACTGGTCATGTCTTCAAACAAAGCCTGTATCTTCCTCCATTCTGTGCTGTTGGAGTTGGGTGAAGATTTGCTTGGCACAAATGCTCTACATATAGAGACAATCAAAATCCTTTTTTAAAAAAAAAGTCAGTTTCACATCCTGCAAACTACATCTCGTTATGTTCGGAGACGAAGGGTCAACTACATAAAGAGTGTAGAGTAATTATGTAACTCAACCATCAAGAAAATATATTCAGCACAATACATAGAAGTTCTACTAGAATCTATGGGACTGAAAGCAAAAAGAAATACAGACATCAAATATACAAAAATGAAGGTAAAAGTAGAATTCAATATTGTATCATTCAAGAGTGTTCTTTCTTCACTTTTCATAAAATGAAATAAATATGAACAAAAACAATTGAATAATAAGGCTAATTGTACATCAAGTAATGCTTCAACACTATCTGGGTTCTGTTTTGTTTTTTTACTGCAAAACATTCTCTGACGTTTTAGAACTAAATACCATATCTTTGGTATTTAAAAAATTAAATTAACACAATAACAACCTTAAAACATTTAAATGAATCGATGTAAACTCTCTACGTTTACTACTGTATAAGCGGTATGATGTATCAAGGAAAAGAGACCAACCCGATCAAAAAGAGAGTAGCAGCAATGAGAACACAGACAATGCAATACTTCAAGGCCGAACAGCATCTCTGAGGAAAGCATATTTAGAGACTTTACAACATACTTCAAACATACACAGAAACACTAGTACACACTAGGACATTTCTTGTTTACTTGAGGCAGAGATAGAAAGGTTTAGTTTTAGTTAGGTTTTACAGCACTCACAACTGCATAAGGTCATAGGACCGCCAAGGCGGGGATGTCAACAGAGAAGACTAAACGGGGAATCAGGTTAACTCAGCTCACCTTTGTAGCCTAAACAGCACAAAGTCTGCTTTAGAAAGGTATTTCATTACGAGACAATGTATTCAAAACATACACAGAAACCTCAGTAATAACATACATACTGCTTTTTTACCATATCAGAGATGACATAATAGTCATTTAGTGCTAAGAAGAAGTAAAAGAGTCAGACTGACAGAAAAATAGAAGGATGGTAAAGAAGTAGAACTTACTTGTGGCTTCAAGCATAGTACAAAAAGTAAAGGCCAATCTTTAAACAATCATTCTATCTTTTTCAGACAACCATAATCTCTATTAAATGACTACACAGCAATAGTTTCAAGCATTACGCTCAACATCAGGCTTCACAACTGAAGGGCACACATAGCCTTTCAAAATTACTTTCTTATTGCAGCCTTTACACAAAACATACATACACCGTTATACCTAAATGGTCATGATACGAGATAACAAAATATTCATTTATGCCATCTTAGGAAGAATGTGCCACTTCAATTTTTTACCTCCTTCAGTCCTATTGATATCAGTATTGAGCAGATTCATGAAATTATTTTAGAAACTGTGACGACATGACCGGGTAACTAATCAGCACAAGGTCGCAAGATGACTTACAACCTACACAGGGTAATAACTTAACAGACCGTAAGAGTTCTATAACTGGCAAAATAGTTATCAGTAAAAGTATTGATAAGATATCTCTCCCCTATATCACAGGTCAAATGCTAAGGGCGCACTAAGGGTATTTAAGTCCAGTCAACCCAAGTCCTTCTAATTAAGCATGAATAAACTCCTTATCGAGGTGAAAATTAGCTGCTGCACTTTAATTCTTGTATCAGCCAGACAGACATGACTAGCTTTCAAACATTTTTGTTCTTTCTACCTTTTTTTTTTCATCAGAACTCTCAGCAAATAGAAAAAGTTTTGCTTATTCAAAAAACAACAAAAGATTTTGACTAAACACTGGGATGCAGATATGGACTAATAAAATCATTATGTCTGCTTACACATATCTACTCTTTTCTTCTCTCCTCCTATGAAAATAAATTTTAAAGTATTAAAATGGAAAGAGGGTGGTTTCTGCACATAATAAAGCACTAACCAGAAGATAAAATATCACTTTACAACCTGTCTAGTCAAGAGTCCAAATTTTCACAAGTAGGCTCTATTTCCCTTCTCTCTCCCTCATAAGAAAAAAATGTTAACACTAGATGAAAGAGTTTGAACTTGACTGAAACTCTACTGTAAAAAAAACAAAACAAGAGTGTTCCAAGTCAGCAAGTTCGTATAACAAATATACCGATTTGCATGTTGAGTTTTCCTCCTTTTCTTCAAAGAAAAAGTACATGAAGGGCAGCAACAGGAACAGGCAAAACGCCACAAGGCCATACAGCACTGGAAAGACAAGGCATAAGCTATATTTAGCAAAAGCAATCAATTCCACAGGATTTTTTAGAAATAATGTCACAAGAACATGTTTAAGAATTACTTTTTGCTTCAATACAATTGCTTGAATGCAAAATTACATACAAGTGACGACAGGTTAAGACATAGGTCACTATTTGGCTACTGATAATTTTTTTTAGTAAAGACAAGACTTCATTTTTAATATGATATATAAACTAAGTATATGAATACAAATAAAAGCAACAACACTGAGATGAATAGGCAATAAGGCCAAAGTGAAACACATTACATTCAAAGAAGACAATGAGAACATCCAGAGGTGGGTATGAAAGCTATTAAAAGAATATTTTCACATTTACTTCCATTAGTATTTAATTTTAATCTCACCTCTTTAAATTTTGGAATTGGAAAAGATTAAGTCTACAAAAAAAATTAAAAAGTGGGGTCTACATAACATAAAAAGATGAAACCTATGAAAAAAAACATACCATAGTAAGCAATTAGCACTGTATCTTCAGTTTCATCTCTCACCGAAGAACTGTTGGCCCAGTCCTGAAAAGAAAAAGAGATTGATGGATTTAAAAAATCATGACACAGTCTGTTTTTGTACACAGTGGTATTTTTTTTTGCAGTTAAAAAAACATTTCATTTACCAACACTTCATCTTCTATTATCAACAAACCATTGATCATGTATTTATGAGATAGAACACTAACAGAGCAGCTAGACTTCCTTATTTACATGATGATTTAATATCACTGTTTTAAATTGAGTGTCATAAAAATTCATCAATCAAAATAAAAGCAAAGCCATCCAAACTTATCATTGGGGCCTCAAGCGCCTGTTCTGTTAAAACTTCAAACATAGCAACTCTGGCTCAATGAAAAATCAGAATCATGAACAATTGTACATAAAAGAGCTCTGCACACCTCATTGTCAAGAAAATAGTCAAAACATTATTTACTAAACAAATATTTACAAATTTGGACAGAAAACAGACAACTAGTGTAAGAGTAACAAGAGCGCCTACAAAAAAATCATCAATAAAATCTATACCTTGAACATGCCATCAGAATCTTTCATGTACGAGACCAAGAAAATATCCACTGGCACCAGAGCAGAGGTCAGCAAGGTTATAGTCAGGGCTATGATGGCTGTGATTGTTGTGGACACTTCACTGTCATATTTGCTCATATAATAGCGCACATAGAACCCGGAAAACAGCAATGTCAGCTGCAATGAGAAAAAGATGTTTTGAGCTACGAAACAAAAATAGAACTCTATTTTTTTTAATGCAAGAGAGGTTGACATCTAGAACAAATCAACATTATATGTAAATCTGCAAAAGCAACCCCCCCAAACAAACACACACTTAAAAGCCCTGCTTTATTAAAATTTCTGCAGGCCTTCACTATCAAGATGGATAGAGAAGAAAACATATATTTCAAGATCAGAATCACATCTTTATACTTTATTATAATATATAACATTACAATATTCACACAAAAAAGAAAAATTAATTAGAAAAATAAACTTTAGGTGGCATAGAAGCTGTACAGTTTACGAAGAGAATTGCACTAAACTGTTTAGTTTTAGTAAGTTTTTACAGAGCTCGCAACTGCATATGGTCATATATGAGTGCCGAGGTGTGGAGGTCAACAGAGAAGTCTACACGAGGGATCAGGCTTACTCTGCTCACCTCTCTAGCCCCAAAAGCACAAAGTCTGCTTGGACTATCAAGGCACCCAGGAAATAGCAATAGAGTGGCAAAAATACAAAAGAAGTAGAGGAAATGACAATAGTAAGGATGAGGGGAAAAAAAGCAGCAGTTCCCCCAATATTGTTCCAGCATAGTATGGGCATGACATTGATAAATCATCCCCTTTATAATTCTACTGTGCATTATAAGAACATAATATCCCCCCTTTGGGAATGGCCTAAAGACAACTTCAATCAGTAGCACTGCCCTGGTGGGGGACAACAAATACTGTACGCATTGTAAAAAGAAGGAATTGGAAAAATAAAGTGGCAAGAAAATACAGTGTATAAACCTTTACAGTCACCTGATTTAAATTCTTTCTCATTTCGTCTTTCCACATTTCTATTTGTATGAAGTATAAAATCCAACTAATCGATCACTTTTCAAAATATGTGAGCGTGTCTGGAGAAAGGTATCAAAAGACGAATTTGCTCGAACCGAGATATCAGACTGCTAAGGTCAAAAATATAATTTCTGACAAAAACTAAGTTCCATTAACAATGGATTCTTTAACCATTCATATATCGATATTTACAAGGACTTGAGTTTCTTTTACTTCAAAATACATTTTTAAAGATGTTTTTTTAACGCGAGGTATATTGCACAGTCCAAAAAAATGCGTAAGAAAATTGGTTTTCCGAGTACACATTACGGATGGTTTCACTTGTCATTCATAAAGTCAACCCAATCACATTGATAACCAAAATTTTGGTCATTCTCTCCCCTCACATAGTGCACATGAATATCTTAAACATATAAACAAAGCGAAGCTTTGCACATCCACACCCTTTCGTTTTTTGGAGAGCAAACTTGTACATGTATTGCTTTTTCCTGCCCTGCGCAAACCTAGCCTAGATCTATTTCTTGAAAATTATTGTTCAAGGTGGTAGTGAATTCATTTTGAAGACGTAATATAAATACTTTGAAGCTGTTCTTTTGTCTTAGTTATTTTTAAAGTTGGTTTGTGAGTAGCGGATGTGTTGTCAGGTCGCCTCAAAGCGTAGATCTATCTATTCGAAGCAGAAACACAGGGAAACATTGAAGCTGTTTTTCTCAAAACTTTGTTTCCGTACCCTGCCTTACAAAATCACCCATATATAAAAAATTACTGAAGATATCTTAAAAATTCAAAAAGCATATTGTTTAGAAATGATCTCTGTACATGAATTATTTTTTTTTATGGGATTCTTTAAAATGCGTTATTTGGTACCTTTCACCAGGGACACACACATATAGGTCTATTCGTGCAAGAAATGGCGTGGATGAAGACCTCCTTGTCTGCCGCCTAGACTTTAAAGGAAAAATTCCACAATGATTCACCCTCCTTTCTACACAAGCATTATATCAACTCCTTCGCTATGCAGAGCCGTGGGCATCAGCGCGGCTACAGTGAATTCACTGCGGCAAGCTGTCCCCGACAGCTCGAGAACCGACCTATACTTCTAGTTTAGATTTAGCGACTTAATTTGAGAGGGATGGGTGGACGGCAGAGGGGACAGAGAGAGAGAGTGTGTGTACGTGTGTGTGTGTGTGCGAGGGGAGAGAGGGAGAGAGAGAGAGAGAGAGTGTGCGTGTGTGTGTGAGGAGAGAGAGAGAGAGAGAGAGAGAGAGAGAGAGAGAGAGAGAGAGAGAGAGAGAGAGAGAGAGAGAGAAAGAGAAGAGAGAGAGAGAAAGAGAGAGAGAGAAACATTAGGCCTTTTCAACTGTTTCAGATGATTTCTTCCTAAAGGCAACAAAATTTTCATCTTTAAATTTCTCAAAAGCTAAGTCAAATTTGTCGTAAGATTTGAATGCCTCCTCAAGAAAGCCTTCCATCTTGTCAGGCGGAGACTAGAAAACTAGTACCACGCAATGAACACTCCCTAAATGTTATTCATCTGTCGCTAATTTTATTGTCCTTTTTCATTGTTTCCAATTGTTGGTTCATACGTACCCTCAAAATTGTGTTGCATAATCGCCTCTCACAGGTCATACCAAAGTTGAAAAAAACACAAATATCCATTACAGATGTAATCTACAAATCATACTGTAATTTCGGTGTATAATATGTTGATATTAATTTGAATTTGTGGCCGCAAAGGCCTCGAACTGCGAACTAGTTGACCCAAAAAAACTTGTCCTGAAGCCCAAATTGGCAAAATAATAGGACAGTGTAGCGAACGAGTTACGCCTGAGCAGTAAACAGAGCTGCCTCACTACATCCTGTTTTCTAGGTGTAATTTAGTTTGGTACCATACTAGATTCTAGTAGGGAATAAGGTATCAGGAGAGAGATATAGATTCTAGATCGGGTTCATTACTACTAGCAGACTCAGTCTGAGCGAGCGGGTAACGGATGCCCATGCCAGAGGACTGCAAACCTCAAGACAGTTCGTTTTTAGGGTTCGCTCCACAATTTTACTCTCTCAGCGAGCGGACTGCATATCTCAAGCCTCTAAAAGTCAGTTCATTTCTTGGGTCCGCTCCACAATTTTATTCACTGAGCGGGCGGGCGAACAGACGATCTCTAGCAGACGAGATACTCAATGCTAAGTTAGGCCCGTCATCTATTGTTTGTTAATTAGGCCTAGTGTTTCAAGCAACTAGCGGTGCCACAGGGAGTGAGAGAGACTGGTGACGTGTACTATGTGTGTAACCTTTCACCTTGTGTGTGGGCACACTGTGCACGTTCAAATTATCAGGAAGGCGAAGTTTAAAGAATTTCCAAAGACTTTTTTTATGTGGGGGGGGTAGAGAAATTTCCTTCGTAAATGCCTAGCTACAATGTGGGGCAGGAGGCTGATTTTTTTTTTTTGGGGGGGGGGGGCGGGGGGAAGTAGTATGCAATGGGAGTCGCTCCCCGTCCGTCCGTCCGCCCACTAAACGAACTGTTGTCTCTGTCCAAAGCCAAAGAGTAGCGAGTAGCAAACTACTCTTCACAAGCCAACGGCTCGTTACCCGTCCACTCATTTGTGGTAGTGCCAGCGAGTAGTACGTACAGTACGTTACTTGCGGACCCTGATTTAGCAAGCCCAACCCAACTCATAGGGCCTAATTTATAGATAGTGACAGTGTCAGTGATAGACTAATAATAATAATACTAAAATTAGAAGTAAATCAAGATCCAGGCCTTTATAGTTTATAGTTTATAGAGAGGAGCTAATTCTTAAAAAAGAATATTTTTGTACACTGTCACTGTAGTGTAGCCTACAACTTAACAACTTTGACTGTGATTCATGAGACCACTTCTTCAAAACGATAGACAGAATCTATGTGGATAATAAATTTCAGTATTAACTCATCATTACAGTATCATTATCGTTACAATGATTTGGGCGCTTTTTCGGTAGTTCCCACCCCGCATTTGTTATTCGCCGGTATTGGCCCCAAGAGTAGGGGGGTTTCAGGGGGGCTAGCCCCCCTGACCTAATAAAAACATGGTGGGGTGTTTCAGGGGGGCATGCCCCCCTGAATTTTACCACAATTTAATGTTTTGCAGTTGTTAGGTTTGATATCTTAGCGTCTTAGCGTCTTAGCTTGCCGCGAATCAAACGTAGATCTAGATGTAGGTCAGGCTCAATCAAATAAGGGGGGTGGGAACTACCGAAAAAGAGCCATGATTTGAATCTCATAAAACTTTGAAATTGGAAAATAGTGATCGACAGTTTACTTACAACTATAACAACCATGAAAGGTATCCACCCAGCAGCGACAACAGCTCCTGGGATCGCCATTTTGTTTGTTTTGACTGTTTCGCTCAGAATCACGTGAGCAAAGTTGCCAATTTCGCAAACTAGATCTAGCCTACAAATTTGAGATTAAGCATAGCTAAGAATTAAATGTGTTTCCTTCCCATCATGATGATTGCAATCTCACTCTAATACAAAATCAATTTTGTGATATTTTAATCCTTAAAGATAAGAAATAGATCTATATGTCATTACAAAGTAAACTTAATATTAGCATAGTTTTAAAAAGTGAGTTAAAGTTAGCCTACAAAAAAATAAAGGTTTATCAAGTCTGGCCTTGATTGATTTTTCTACTCTCAGGCAGAAGAGCTCGTGTAAACAACAACATGTTGAGAGGCGGAACGAATAGGCCCACTGCATTTCCTTTCTTTGACACATTGTGCTCTTTTGATTAGAAGCCTGCTTTTGTTAAGTTTTCTGTCTTTTCTTTTGCAATGGCATCCTACAAACAGGAGCATGAAAAGTTTGTAACTGGATATAACGGTACAACATTCAGTGAAGTTACGTTTGTGACCGGCATTTCGTGCATTTCCTGCTTCGTCAGAGAAGCAGGAGTTTTGCTGCTCTTTAGACTCTTTCAAGAAGGATCAAGGACAAGTAATTTCCTGTAAGTTTGTGGAAAGTAGACTTTGCTACTGGGAACTCTGATTTAACATGAAGATGCTGATGCTTAGAGTTAAGTAGAAAATGGTCTGAATGAGTAGTAGGCTTCCATTTTCTCAAATTATGATGAAATATATATTAAAATTAGCAGACCATCATAGGCGCTGTCCTAGTACAGTAGTCTCCGCCTAAGATCCCGGTGCTCGGGAGCAAGGAAATGCGGGATCTTAGGTGAACCAGGATCTTAACCGATGAATCCAGGGAAGAATCTATGGTGACCCATGTTAAGGCTCAAAATTGGTAAAATGGTCTCCCTCCTCTCTACAATGAACTGACGTGCCCCCTTGGTGGGCTTATGGCATATGACGAGCAAAGAGTGGGTAACCTTGATGACCTGTCACGGTGCATAGTGGCATGAGGCGTGCCATTTTCACTTCTATTATAATCCTATCATGAGTCTCAAGGTCTACGCTTATCGAGTTGCCCCTCCTCTTTACCTGTCAAAAATGTATAGCTTTCCATCTCTGACCGAGCCCCCCACCCCTCCCCCTCCAAACCGCCTTTGTCGTTACACACCATTACGTTGTGAACCCACCAATTAAAATTCAGTCTGTCTCGCAAATTCGGGAGTACAGACAACTGCTGCAATGGTCAAGGAAGAGTTCACGGTTCGATGTGATCCTGCCTGGAGCGCGAACATGTAGGCCCTACCCACCCAGCGAGTGATGCAAGTTTAGGTGGCGAGCTCAGGTGTGAGTGCTATGCGTGGGGAAAACAAACGCATCGGTCAGTTCACATCCCGGTGTGATCCCGTCTGGGGCAAACATTGTATCGCTTCATCGAGTTTTACAACGTGTATGTGATCACATTCACGATAGTGGTTGATCTTTGACGCGACGGACAGTTTATTGATCTCAACTTTTCACTCTAGGTTGATCGGCTGTGCCCTCCCTGGTTTTTGTTTAGCAAATCATGATCTGAAATGCGGGATCTTTGCCGAATGTAGACCATCAGAGCGGGACTTTTGTATAGTAAAAATTCTGTTTTCCTAAAACAACGGGATCTTAAGCGAACCGGGATCGTAAGCAGTGGGATCTTAGGCGGAGACTACTGTACAATGCTGTTATAGTTATAACTCACTTTATTTCTATACTCTTTCAAGAGAATCAGTGTGTTTGTGAGTGTTGAAAAAACAATTTAACAAAATAGCCAGGGTGGCGGCCGAAGTCTACTCTTATCGATTTTAAGACCACTTATTAAGGGATCTTTAATGTGCTCTCAACTTTCACACGGGACCTCCTAGATTTTTTTTTCATTATCCAGGAAAGCTAGGTGTTAGATCTTACCTACCCAAAGATCAGGGGGTCACTGTAAGACAGCAGTAAGAAGGAGCCTATTAGTTAGACAGTAGCAGCGAAAAGAGTCAGGAGCCCAGAGGAGGGGGGCAAAGGTATGGAAGTGGAGACGAAAGCTGATGACAGAACATGGTTAGAGAGCAGGAAAAGAGGTGAAAGGCGAACTTTTATTTAGAGAAGAAAATTTTCCGTCGTTGTCAGGCTTTGAAACGGGACGTATTGAATGAGAGGCGAAGACTGTATCCTCTCTATACCTTGAGAGCTCCGTTCGTGTCTTACAAAAGTGTAATCCTTCTGCTTGATAAAGTCTTGTCTTGTCCAGCATGATTCCTTAACATGTTAAGTTCCTCTGAAGTATCCTTTTACAGATTTAGAAAGTATTAACCATCTTTAAGTTATGCACGCCTTTTCACCTTACTTCCAAAACAACCCTCATACTTTGGAATTTTACTATCTCTGTTTCTTTGAACTCTGTGATGTCAGATGTATTCGTTGAAACTTTCAGCTTGGTAAATTTAAAGTAAAACTTAATTGTGCAGCAACAATCATCTGGGATGTGGTAGACCCCCAAAGCCAAATAGTATTCCTAACAGATGCCATGTCAGTACTGCCGGCAAACTACCAAGACTGCTAGAAGTAATGGAGGGCATCCCATGCCTGAGGATCATGCTGCAGCAGATACTATCGCACTGTGGTGTCTTATTTAATAAACAGGCGGACGGGATGGCCAAACTAGATGCACAGAGATCTCAGCCAGACAACAGCATCAACTCATCATCATCCAGTGCCAGATCTGGGACTGACATGGGCGATCATGGTTCCCCTTTCATTCCTTTGCTCAGATGCTCTCAAAAAAGCTACGTTCCCCTGATCTTTCCCTGTTACCCAAGCTCCCAAAGTAGATTGTTCTGGGCCTACCCCTGTCTCGTCTGCCTTCAATTTTGCTTCAACTAAACAGAAATAAAAACACGTATGAATACACTATTAAAAGCACCACAGACACGAGATAACTCTACCGTGAGCTGTCCTGCCAAAAACAAGTGATTATCTTCAGACTAAGAAGGCAACACACGAAACTGAGAAAACACATGTACAGATGTTTTAAACTAGTACAATCACCAAAATTCCAGTGTGCAGAGGCAGACCAAACTGTGGAACACTTCCTTCAGTACTTCAAGACACACAGGGCCCTGAGGCAGAAAATGTGGCCAACCCCATTGACACTACAAGAGAAGCTGTACAGGCCGACAGATGAACTGAACAGGATGGCCCAGTATATGACAGATACTGGACGCCAAGTGTGATACGATCGAGAAGAAGAAGATTTTGTATTGTGATTTTTCATTTGTAGCCTTATATTGGTTATTACCAGTATATTTTGCGTTTGAATCAAAAGTTGTTACGGTATTATAACTGACTTATTTTCCTTTTTGTTTCCTACACAGATGGAGGTTCTTCTTGGACTTTATGGTGCTTGTTCTGCCAAATATTTTGAGCGTGACATTGATGAGCGACTACATCATGGAGTTGTTTCTTGGAATCATTGCCTCTTGTGTCATGCTGTACTTTGTGTATATGAAAACTGTTGCCTCTAAGTCTCATCTTATTCTTCGTAGTGAAGTAAATCTCAGTGATAAAAAGACGTTTGTGACCAACTTTAGGTCTATTATAAACATATGTGCAGCTGTTGGTATTTTGGCTGTTGACTTCCCTATATTTCCTCGACGATTTGTGAAAGCAGAGACGTATGGATTTGGTCTCATGGATACTGGAGTGGGGTTTTATGTCGTGTCAAATGCTATTGTCAGCCCAGAAGCCCGCGGAAAGCTACCCAATCTGTCTCTTGTTGTTTCTCTTAAGAAAGCTGTGGTATCGTCTGTTCCTCTCTTAGTCATCGGATGTGCAAGACTGGCTACTGTGAAGGGAATTGAGTACCAAGAGCATGTATCTGAGTATGGAGTCCACTGGAACTTTTTCTTCACCCTCGCTGCATTGAAAGTGAGTACAGTAGATCTCTCTTAACTCAAAGCCAGCTTAGCACAAATAAACTGGTAGTAACGTCCACCGCTGAACTCCTTTATCATTTTGTAAGTCTAACTTGGCTTGCATGTGCAAGGAAATTCAAAAAGTCTAGGGTAGTGCAAACATTCCCTGCCCAAAGATACATTGGTGTAAATTCAGCCCACAAATTCACCAGCCTGACAATGGGTCACTGGACATACTTGCTTTAAAGGCCACCTGTGATATCAAATTGGAGGTTTAGTGAATACTAACAGATGATTAGGGGTGGGGGGGGGGGATAGAGAGAGATTAGAAGGTGAATATCATACAAGTTTGGTTATTTGGATCTGATTTCAAGCATTTAGTACACATACTTTTTCATAACTGTAATATTCTTGTTTTGGAACATTTTTGTGTCTTTTTGTTGATGAGAAGATATTTACTATTACAGGTCATGTGTACAGCTGTGACCTGCCTTGTTCCAGCGAATCAATCAGGTCCAATGGGTGTTTTGGTGTTGGTTTTATATCAAGTGGTTCTCTCAAACTTTGGTGGTTCCAACTACCTTCTTACAGGGAGCGATGGCAAAGGGGGAAGAACTGGAGGATTCTTTGACGCCAATAGAGAGGGCATCTTCACTTTGCCCGGATATGTCGCTATCTATTTATTTGGCGTCCATCTTGGGTGCTTCATATTCAAACAAAGGTGAGGGGAGAAATTACATCATATTAAGTTATCTTCATGTTTGTTTACCGGTAATGAAGATTTTGATCTCAGATTGATGTGTAAACAGTAACATTGTGTTTTTCTGTACTTCACCAATGTTTTTACGACACTTTACTACCAAAATTTTGTACTGTGGGGTTGACTGAAAATTTGTTGGCTCTTACTCTTAGAGAACGTAGATTAGTGGAATGCAGAATGAGTTCAGACTTTAGATGTCTTTTTAGTGATGTGAAACTGTTATAGGGTTTGAGAGTAAAACACGGTGGACTCCACTTAAAACAAAATGTGCAAGAACGCCATGTTTTCTTTGATGTGGTGGTATTTTCTGTTGAAAGAGATTCCTCAAATGGTGTAGAAAAAAAATTGGGGGATTCAATTTTCTTTTGGATTTACTTTTGTTTTTGGATTGACCTTGTTCGGTAAAAGTCTAGACTGTTGTAGCATGGTCAGGTTAAAAGCAAAAGCCTGTATTTTTATATCTTTACTGCCACATTATACTCTGAAATTAATTCAACTACTGTAAATTGGAAGAACAATTTTACTGCTAAAATTAGATGAATATTTTTAGTGCCCTTCTTTATTTCAAGAATTCAGCACTACTGATACCTAAATACATGTAGGAGTGACCGACTTAAATTGTTGTTGTTGTTATCGATCCAGTAGCATCTGAGCGTTAACTCTTCTGCATGATGCCATTCTGTAATAGCTGCATGTCTGTTCTAATTGTTGTCTTGAGGAGTAGAGGCAGTTAGATGTGTCACACATTTATCTGGCTGACTGGATAATCTTTAAATGTTTTTTCTCATGACAGGAAAAGCCTGAGAGAATGGCTTTCAGCTGCAGTAAAAATTGCAGTCTCTGCCTTAGTTTTCGCCTTGTTCTTGATGGTCTGTCATTTGGGAGTCCAGCCTGTGTCCAGAAGGTTCGCCAATGTCACGTATGTTTGCTGGATGGTAAGTGAATTTTACACTTGTCCTTACAACATTGACTCTAGTGTCGCACTGTGTAGTGGTTGTAGTAATATAGTGATAGTAAATATTTCCCTCCCTGTGGAAACCGTTTTCATCATTTTAAGGGGTGGGCTGCATACACCCTGCCTTTCAGGGCCAGCTTGAACTGAGAGGGATACAACATCCCAGTGGACAGCTATAGGGGATATAGACAGTGACAAACTATCTGCCTGATAACAGGGATGACAAATCTGAGGGGGG